ACGATTCTTTCCTCCCGATAGTCGAGGCTGAGTGCCGCAATGGACTCGCCGGCGCAGGTCTAGGTTCAATGGATGCAGCTTGGGGCAATACATGCGGTAGGCACATCGCCTGCAGGAGTTGATGTCGCAGCTGGCGCTGAGCGCTGGCCAGGAGCTGATCATCATGGCGCTAGCAGCTGCTAGTAGTGTGGAGCTAGCAGGCTACAAAGCTGCAGATCCGGATGTGGATGATAGTTCTGGTGTGCTAATAGACACTGCAGACGAGAGGCGGAAAAGTTTCGCTTCCGAGGGCAGTGAACCTCAAGGCGAGGAGGACAAATGGACGTCCATTTTCAGCTCCGGGCAAGAGGACCCGCAGTGGGCTCGTCTGGAGAGAGGCATCATCCATCCGCACAGCAGGAAGTGAGTCAGGTTCATTTGGCAATTCTGGGTGCATCTTTTGCTTGTACCGAGGTGCTAATCAAGTAGAACTCAAAATTATTTCAGGAATTGGTAGGCAGACAGCGGTAACATGTCTGCTTAGGAAGTGTTCTGGACATTTGAGAAAGTAAGTTGCTAGAGCATGAAATTGATAGTACGAGCCAGCTAATTATCCGATCGGGGCACACAAAAGAGAGCCCGTCAACTGCGCTATCATGCTTCTCAAAATCTGCCACCATTGAACAAACCCGTCAACATCAAATTCTCAACCGAATCGGCAGAAGCCTTGAAAAGGTGCATTGGGAGCTAACGGGCAACACAGTGAAATGCGCCTCACCTTGCAGGTACACCATCTGGTCAGGAGTCAACGCGGTGCTTGTGGCGTACTGGACCTTTGCAAGTAGGCATCGGGCTCCACCACTCATTCCCAATCTAAAAGTAGACGCACCGACACAAGTGTGGCGCTTGTAATATAGCTGCCTCATCAAGCTGAACAGCTTAACCTGTTGATCAGGGGGTCACTCATCCTGGCACACTAAGGTGGATCCCTGTGGATAGCGCACTGCAGAATTACAATTGGGGAAAACAGTATCACGCTGGTAGAATCTCATGAAACCCATCACTTTTTACTTGATATTACTTGGATGAAAATTGATCGGTCTTGCTTTCAAACTGCAGACTGACAGGTGCACATTTTCAATAGCTGACAGTCAACGTTGTCCCCTATGCAGCCTGGCTCATCTGGGGTTTCATTGGCCGGCCCTCCCTTGCGCTGGTCGTGGTACAGGCCGTTATCTCATGCTTCTTTGGACTGGACATCTTTGTCCGCTTCCGCGTCTCCTACTTGGACACCAAAACATTGACATGGGTCCAGGACCCCAACAAGATTGCTAAGAGGTAAGCGGAAGAGGAACTAGCGGGTTCGCCAGGGCCTCCCGAATCTTACGTATATCGAGAGTCATTGCGTCAATTGGTGCCACCTGCGCAGATTGCCTGACAACAAACTCCGTACTTGGTGGCTGTATTACATTGCATTACATTACGCTTTCCCTTGGACCTTGGTCTGGACAATTGTGCTCTGGTCCGATGGGTTGATATATCACCCTTGGCCCCTCGAATTGCAATCGGAGGTCTTTTTATTGTTGCAGGTACCTGTTGCGGGGCTTTTTGTTTGACGCCCTGTCCATCCTCCCCATCGACCTGGTGTTTTACATTGCCAGCAGTCACTCCGCGGAGGGCTACTTGGGGGACTGGCTGCGCACCCTGGCCCTCCTGCGCATGGTCCGCCTCACCGACACCTTCAACTTCTTTGCCAGGTCCGTTGTCATCGCCACATCCTTTGATAAAAAGAACCTCACTAGCACCAGAACTCTGTCCTCTGTGTGCTTCAGAGGGCGCAAATGGCTGCTTAATGAGCTATGCTGGTCACCCTGCAGCCCCTTGAAGATTCAACTGTTGGCAGTACAAGCCCCAAATTGCATGCCGGTGACGAGTCTCCACTGCTAACGACTGTTTGTTGCTATAGAAGTTTGTTGCCCTGCCACTATCAAGCTTACTACAAGCTATCTGTGCTAATGAAAGCGCTTGGAATTTGCAGGTTCGAGAAGGATGGGCAGTCCGTGTACAAAAGCCTGAAGTTTTTCAAATTGGGAATGGTAAGCTATTTGTTCCATTCAACTCAACTGCCAATCCTTAAAGCTTGCCGTATATCACGGCCAGCCAACACACCGCCGCTCATTGTCAAGCCGATGTTTCAGAGGCCAAGCGTACAAAAATGAAAAGACCACTGATGATCTCTGGGGATCTGTTGCGTATTGACAACGTGCATCACCCTGCGCTTATTGCTCTTCGCCCTTCCGCTTGGCTGATAAGCCATCTCCTCCAGAGGCCCTCCCGTTGCATTCTCGCTTACCTTGCTCCTCCTTTTCCCAGCTGGTATTCCTATCCGCGCACATTGCCGCGTGCATGCTGTGGTTCATCTGTCGCCAGGAGGTGCGCCACAGCGGCGACCCCACCGGCTGCATGTTTGGCGCCACGAGCGAGGACTGGCAGCAGTGGCCGCTCTACAAGAAGTGGGTCACCTCCTTCTACTGGTCCGTGCTCACCGTCTCCAGCATCGGCTACGGGGACTACATGCCAGTGAGTCAAACACTCTGCCTAAGCTGGGGAAACTTAAGCAGCGGTTCACGCTTCTGGAATGTCCCTCACTTGTGGAGAGTACTGCCGTAGACTCGAAGAGCTAGGCGTCTTGCGAGTTTTATTGCATCCCCCTGTTCTTGTATGGTGCACCAGAATGTAGCGTGCTGCACGTTGCTGGCGAGGCAAGAGCCAACCAACTCAGTCGCTTGCTTTTTGTGTTTGCAGGTCACCCAGTTTGAGCGCCTCGTGGTGTGCGCATATGAGATCTTTGGGCTGGGAGTGGTAAGCGATGAAACGGCCCACGTGCTCCCGCTCTTGCGTAGCCTCGTTTGCACCACAGACGAGTTACAGCGCAACCAAGGTGGCTATGAACGTCTAGGCAAAACCTCGTCACCTTCGAATGATGCAATGTGTCTCTGCTCGAGACTTTTGGCTACAAAGCAGGCGGTGCGGCCATCCCGTTTGCGATTCCAGCAGAGTCATCACCGCATAACGTCGACTGACTGACGCAGTTTACCCCGCCCCCTGCAGCTTTCGTACTGTTTGGGCTCCATGGAGGTGATGCTGGTCCGAGAAACGGACAGGACGGGCCGCTACGTAAGGCTGTCCATGCCAATTCAAGGCCTTCAGATGTTGCAACACGAGTCCCTTCGTAGGGTCTGAGATTTGAACAGCCCTGCCGTATCCATTCCGCTGGGAAAGAATGTGCCGAACTTTGTTGCGACATCAATGTGCGATTTGGGATATCAGGGTGTATTCTGCATCCAGCTCTCCATTCGGCTGTTCAGCAGTTCGAGCAACGCTACCATACTGAGTCGTCAAGCCGACTCAAGGGGTCGAAGCACACTGCCCTTGCAGGGGCTTCCACAACAACGTGCCCTCTCACAGGGCTGACATCACCTTTCTCTTTGCTGCCCAGCACGACAAGGTGCGCGCGCTGAACGACTACGCGCTGCGCAAGTCGCTGCCGGGCGCGCTCAAGGGCGCACTGAAGCAGCACCTGGTGCTGGAAATGGCAGTGGACAAGGTGCGCCCCGACGTGCTGAACGCGTTCCCGCACCACCTCAAGGCCAAGGTGCTGCGCAGCCAGTACAAGGACCTCGTCGCGCGCACCGCGCTCTTCCACGGCACCTCCCCGCAATTCCTGGACCAGGTGGTGAGAGCACAATAACGAAATCCCCGAATGATTCGCCCCTGGAAGCAATGAAAGGTCATCAGCGGGCTTCGCGTGTTTGTCTGGCGTTGCGAGCGTGACGAAAATGCTCAGAGGGCTCTTTCAACGCGTCGAAGAAGCGAGTCTGCAAGAAACGAAACTCTGTGAGTGATGTATTGGCTTCAGCTTCGATGCCTTCTCACAGGAAGCCCTTGATCAATGCCCGCAGCAATGTCTTCGCCTCTTCTATTGTCAGGGGCGTTGTATACCTCGCTGAAGCGTCACTCACCAGCGTTGGTCATCTGTGGACGCTAGTCGTCACATTGACCAACCCAAAGGAGCCTTCTCTCTTGCGCTGCTCCTTCCCGTTGATCGACCTCCGCCCCCGGTTGCTGTGCGCCAGGTGGGCGAGATGTCGTTGGAGATCCAGCTGCCCAACACGGCGGTCGTGACGGCCGGGGACGTGGCGGAGAGCCTGTACGTCGTGGTCCGCGGGACACTCACCAGGGAGACCGCCGCGGGGCAGCCCGTGGTGAGATGCGTGGGCACAACTTTGTGCAACCCAGCCTTGCTCAGCTCTGTCAGAAAAGTTCGCCGTCACCGCTTGTCGTAGCTGTGTCCAGAGATGGGGCTTCAAAATACACTGCTGAGATTGTCAGAAGTGAACTGCGTGTCTCTGTTTTCGAACCTCCGGCTCGGGCCCATTGAAAGCAAGGACAAACACGTGCTTTTGGACGAAGCGTTCGATACGTCCCTGCGTGGTATCTTTGAAACCCGTAAAGTGCGCACCCAACGCATTGCCGACTGGCGCTGCAACATGTTGACCCCGCTTTCAAATGGGCCCGAGCGGAGCTTCGTTTATCCACTTGCATTGCATTTCTTCTGGGTTTTGCGTTCTTGAGCGACCCCGCACCTTTCCCTGATGCGAATGGCGCCACGTGGCAGGCCGGCAGCGGCGCGCTGGGCGCGGGCGGATTGGTTAGCATTTGAGAACGGGTTGGAAGGAGTGCGCAAAGTCTTCATTTTCTTAAATCCTTCCGGTGCTTCGCAAATCAACTGTAATTTTCCTTTCCTTTTGGGTTTCCCATTCGTGGGCGAATCGCAGCCTCCCCTGATGCGATCGGCACGACGTGGCCGCAGGCTGGCGGCGGCGCGCTGGGCGCGGGCGGCGTGTTCGGCAAGGTGGCGGTGCTGTACGCGGTGCCGCAGGTGGCCACGGTGCGCACGGCGGAGGTGTGCGAGCTGCTGCGCGTGGACAAGGCCACGCTCACGCGCATCCTGCGCGCGTATCCCGAGGACAACCGCCACATGCTCGCCAACATGACGCGGGTCAGCGCCGAACGGGGCAGGAACTCAGGCTATACTCTGGTGACGTCGTCGTTGTCATTGATTGGAAAGGGTCGCAGGGACCGTCTGCAGCCAAGGATTTTGTAGTATGGGCTGATACCATGTTCATATTGAAGTGTTGGCACCCAGGACTAGGGGTTTGATCTTTTTACCCGCAGATCGTGATTGAACACACTTTTTAGTCGACTGCTCTACCGACCATCGTAGACAGCTTTCAGCGATTTGATAGTTGACCGCCGTCAATGGGGATTCGTCTCTCCACTCCAGGCGATACCAAAGGCTGCTTGTCCCCGGAAGTAAAACTTACGGAATGGGCTGCAGGAGTCATGCGGTAAGCGGGGAATAGCCCACGGATTGTCGAGACGGGTCCCTGATCAAGCCCACCCTGTCAAGGCACAAGAATATGGCTGATTGGTCAGCTCAACTCGCTGTCAATGCAAGGCGATAATGACATGGGTCCATTCAGACAGGGACTCAGACAGGGACTCATACCGGCTTCACATGCTGTCCACTTAACAGCATGCAACGCGCTCGAAGCAGCACGCACCCTCTGACGCATCCCTTCCTCGCGTGCAGCGTGCGCAGGCAGCGCGCAGCGCGGGCGACGGCGCGCAGGGGCTCGCGGTGGAGCTGAGCAGCGTGCTGGAGGCGCAGGACGCGGAGGTGACGCGGCGGCTGTGCAACACGGCCGCGCGCGGCAACGCGGAGCGCCTGCGCGAGCTGCTCGTGGCGCCCGGCGCGAGCAACGGCGCGGACTACGACGGCAGGGCGCCGCTGCACTTCGCGGCGGCCGCGGGGCACGCGGGCTGCGTGGACGTGCTGGCCAAGGCGGGGGCCGACGTCAACGCGCAGGGTGAGCGGGGGTATTGAGAGTTAAGGAGGACACGTGCGTCATGGGCGGGTGCTTCAGCGGCCGCGGGAGCACGTTCTGTGCTGTTGCATGTGTTCTACTGAGATTAGCCGCCTCCAAACTGGATGTTCCTTCTTTGAAAGGAAACACTCGCACGTCGAGGACAATCGTTGCAGCCCGCTAGTCGTGCCACATCGTTGGGTACGTTAAGCGGTCGCCGTTTTCCCTGCCTGTTTGAGTCTCCCTGACTGGTTCCCTTCCCTTCGTCGCTCTCAGACCACCTGGGCCGCACCCCGCTGTTGGAGGCGGTACTCGGTGGCCACGTGGAGTGCGTAGCCGCGCTGCGGGCGGCAGGGGCCGGGCTGAACCTGAAGGAGCCGGGGCGCACCTTGTGCCACGTGGTGGCCACAGGGGCCACCGTCAGCCTGGCCGCTCTGCTGGAGTGCGGCGCGGACCCCAATGCCACCAACTACGACGGGTGAGATTTGGACAGCAGAGTACCTGGGTGGAAAGGTTGGGAAAAACGCTGCTTTGCTGAGCGCTACAGCAATTGAGTAGAATCGTGAGTCTTCTTGTTATCGGATTTGCCATGTCAAGGGAGAACGGACTGCAGAGTAGGTCAAAGCACTCTGGTCGCTATTCGCTCTTATGCGAACGCGTGTGAGTGGAGGGCAACTTTCGACGAAACCGCGCTTAATCTCTTACTCGGAGATGCATTACTCGTCCGCTGTGCAGGCGGACTGCCTTACACGTGGCAGCTGTGAAGGGCGCGGAGGAGGCAGCCCAGCTGCTGCTGCACGCTGGGGCGGGTCCCCACGTGGCGCCAAAGGGAGTGCCGTCGCCGCGAGAGGAAGCCGAGGCTGCGGGGCAGACCAACCTTGTCCGTCTGTTCGATCAGGCAGGGGCCGGAATCGCTGCGCTTTCAGGTTGAGGCGTCTTGACGACGGAAAAAGCGGAACGAACTCCGAGCCAGACTCCCCTCATAAGATTCGTGAAATGCAGAGATAGATTCTACGGAACTCTTCGTGATCCAGCTGTAACCTTATTGTCTCATAGATTTTTGCACTGAGTGTAATCTAAAAGGGAAGGCGAGTTCGCCGTGTGTCACTTTTGATTGTTGCTTTGAACAAGCAATTGAAAGGCATTGAGCCTTGAGCCTCCAGGTTGCTGAAAGGTAGAAGAGCTGCATCAGCAGACAATCTAGACTCTTCGACGAGTCTGCCCTTCACAGACGAGCAACTGCTGACAAACTTGCTTTAGCACGTTTATCGGATAGCAGCATCTCGCTAGTTGATGATCGACTTTAGGCGTTTTGTACTGTAAACAGACCTGGGCCAGTTGTTCAATTCGCTGATGGAAGCGGCACGTGCATAGGCAGTGCAAAGCAAGTGACAACGTGCATGTGTATATTTTCATTTTACAGCGCGATCTTAGAGCGAGAATTAGTCCTCCCAACTTGGAATATGCATTGATCATCAATCTTGTCTGTACCAAGCTCCACGATGAGAAGCTGCTAACAATGATCGATGCCAGTGGGGTTGTAGCGCTATGCAGAGTATCATATCGAGCGCGAATGATTGGTACTCGTGTCAAGCATACAGCTATGCAATTGAAGAAGAAAGGTACGACCAAATGCAGCTCAGTAGTACATATCACGCATAAGCACGTACACGTACAGAACGACTTGCGTTCTGATTAGCTATAGCTACATATACCAACCAGAGACTCGATCATGTATGCCATGAATTGTAGCCTACGGCTGAAGATATACTGTAAGCGAAAAGACCTTTATCTAATTACTCGATCGAGCTAGATCATGCATCATGGGTTGCTAGCTTGGCGGCTGGCAGAGTAGACAATTTTAAAACTCTGCCCTCGATCTCCGCGAGCCTTCACTTTCGTACCCTATCGTATTTGTATGAGGCTGGCGATCAATGCGCTACACAGAATCATGACGAACATGAGTCACCAATGCAGCAGTCACTGGAATGAGCGCAGCAGCCTCAGTTGGGCGCGGTCCTGTTTCAGACTTGTATCGAGTGAAAGTCAGATAACGTCGCGGAAAGGACATGACAAATTCAGGAATGGTTCTGTCAATATGCGAGTGAACGCGGAGCTCTTTGCATGCCGCAAACGGCCAAATTTGCCGTCATCAAAGAATTAGCTGGCTGATAAACGTAACAAAAGAATGCAATATCCTGCATGTTGATCCAGTTATGGTACATCTTTCTCCTCGCAAGATAAATGACCATTCTAAGCAACCATGGCGAAAAAGTGCAGTTACTCATAAGTCATGTTTCTCGAAAAATTCTCGAACCTTGTCTAGCGCTCTTCTTCTGTGAGAGATCTTGTTCTTTTCCTCCTTTGGCATCTCAGCATACCTGCAAGCGAGAAGGCAGGGGCCCGGAGCATACTACACGTTTAAAAAACAGAAAGTTGAGGCGCCTCTTTCTAAAACCCCTGAGCTTTCCGCTTCTGTGGTCAATACCGGCGCCCAAGTCAAGCTTGTAAAGAGATCTTCGAGGTTGAATGAGTCAAGCTTGGCGCTCTTTGCCGTCGTTTCTAGACAAAATCTCTGAGCAAGGCGCAACTTGGAGCACGTCTGCAGCAGCCCTTCTCGTTGAAAAGGGCCCCATGCTTCCTTTATGGGCTCGAACCGTTCACGGCGGCTCGAACTCGAAAACCATTTTAACCAGTCTCGAACGTTTATCGAACATGGTGCAGCCCCCTTCCGTTCCCAAATCACAGACTACCTTTGCATCCAAGCCTGCATCTCGGTCCTTACTGAAATGCGCCCCCATGTTATCGAGAGTTTTTGTGGTAGTTCAGTGAGAGGATCGATAACGCGACTCGGTATCTTTCCAGCATAACCGACTGGCTTCCTGATGGATTCCTGACGTCGAGTCATCCGCGTCGGCATCGGTCCATTTTGAAGCCAAGGGCAACTTACGTGAGGTCATAGCCGTCGGGTTGGAAGATTGGGTCCCATCCAAAGTCTCCTGGTCCCCTCGCTGGAACCACGACACCCTGCAGAGCACATGTTCCTGTGAAGCGACCTCGAGGCTCAAGCAGTTGAGCAGCTCAACCCCATATCCTTCGATGACTATACACAACGACTTGCTGAAGCGGCTTGTCTCAACACGACTTGCAGACGTCATTCACTTCAATGTTTGCTCAAGTCCTATCTACCACGAGCTGTTCTTCTCAAATACCTTTCCCTCCTCCCTGTTTCTCTAACTAAAACAAAAGTGCCACAAGGGGTGGGGCCGAACTTTCCTCAGATGCTCACGTGCGTTTTGCCGGTGAAAGTGATGGGTTCGCTGTCGGCGTCCATTGCGAAGGAAAAGATGCACATGGCGTAGGCGGATTTGTCGTCGTATGCCAGCAATAAGTTGTTCAAGCCTGCCATTCACCAGAAACAGATGGGGTAAGCGGCGAGACTAGGTCGAGGCAGGCGCCTACGAACATGTGACCCTACGGAGAACAAGCGAGGAGAAAACGCCAGCACTTTGGCGGGGCTTGAATGAGTAACTAACCTACGAATCCTACTCGAAAACGTACAACGGTTTCGAGACTTTCTTGCCGTTTTTCTTTCACCCTCTTGCGGTTGCTCGCAATCAAGTATTGACCGACGTCTGGAAATTCGAACGACAGAGTGTTTGTGCAGGAGCCCCAAACACCAGCGGCCCGAATGACCGAATTGAGGCATCGACTGGACTTTTAAGCCGCTGAGGATGTCTCTGCAACGCAGCACGTCCTTCGCAGAATGTCTTGACATCCGACATGCCATGTCAAAGTTCAGCAGCTCGGGAAAGGCAATGACTCGGTTCAAAAATCGAGGCGTTCGTTTTCAAAATTTCCTGAGAACCTGTCCATAAGGCCTGCTCGACAGTTTTCGTAAAGAAGTGCAGAGCCACATGATTACGACCGGGTAAGCTCGAAAACCAAGCGATATTTGCTTTTGCAAGGATTCGCAAGAAAAAGCCGATTTTTGAGGAGGTGTTCAAGAGGAGAAGGCGGATGTGGGTAGTCCGATCAGAGTCACATCTTTCTGCCTAAACGTTGAGCTTCGCTTACCTTCGTGACCGGTCTTTTGTAGGAACCATTTACTGCACGGTCCAAAGCATGCGTTCAGAAAATCGAAGAGACGTTTGTTAAGGCAGAACGTTTCTACATCTGATACCACTAGCAGCTTTTGAGCTGCTGCTTTTCAAAGCAACCATGCTGTGGCACCTGGCGGAGAGGAGACCACACGACATGGTAACACTGCTTCGATACTTCCAGCACATACTTGTGAACGCTTGAGCCCAGCTTGATGGCCCTACGCAGGTCATGCAGAGCCCGTTCGATTCAAGACAGAAGTGGCAAGCGGGACTCACACATACGGGCCAGGCAGACCGTTCAGCGCGTTGTAGCAGAGGCATGTGTCCTCTACCAGGGTGGGACCTTGCACCTGCTATGGAGGGCAAACCAGGGAACATAAGCTATGAACATTTGATTGCATTCTGTGCCATGTATACTAGTGCTATGTCAAACCTCCCTTTTCTTTGTTTTGAGCTTTCCAGCTGTGCGGCACGGACACCACGTACTATGACTATGTGCAGCCGTACTATACACATGGATTGTATTGTTTTATTGTACGTGGTGTCCGTCGCAGTTAGTTGTTTCCTCCGAGTAATTGTAGTTCAGCCCGATGATTCTCGCACCTTCAGCTTCAAGATTCGCTGGAGCAGGCAGAGGGCAAGCAGGAGAGGGGTAGCACATCCTTCAAACTTCATCAGCAGGGAAGAACGCAACTTCCCAACCGCCTCCTGTGGTAAGAAGACTCTGCAAGAGGGAAGGAAGTCTAGCCTACCTGCCTAGCGGCGATTCTACACTTTTCCTTTGAGATCTCCTCAGGTTCGCCCTGCAACTCTGGCACTGCAGCAAGAAGGCACTGAAGAAAGTTCAGGGTCCACCAACTACTCCTCAAGATGGAGATTCAAAATAATATGTCAGACATTGAGAGTCATGTTGATCACTAACAAAATAACAATCTTTCTTGAGAAGACATCAGAATCCTGTCACAACAATACAGTGACGAACTTTGCATGTTCTCGAACTTTTTTGCCCCGAATTGTTGTCTTCATAACCTGAACCTTGCGGGTCCTCCACGTGTTACTCAAAATAGGAATGCCCGTCTAGGAGAATTGCAATTTACATGGATCAATGATCAAGCTTGGATCTTTCAATGGATCACCGACGAAGGATCACTCAGGGAAGGCTCAAAAGGACGACTGCCCATCTGTGTGTATAATCTTGATAGCCAGACATATCACATCTTGCAATCAAACATCCGCACTCCCATCGAATTCAAATGCTGGACTCACAGTCCAACTTCACGCTCTTGAAGGGTATCTTTCCCCCAATGATCGCCTTGACTTCCTCCAGTTTCTTGGCATTGCCCGTCACAAACGTCACAGGTTGCGCCAATTTGGCGGAGATGATGCGATCTAGTGATCGTGTGGCCGTTGGCAGACTGGGTGCAGAGCCAAGTTTGCCCACCAGCTGAGCGCTGCTAGAGGCAGCCATGCCAATCGCTGTGCACCTGCACCTGTTGCTCCGTGTTACCCTATAGGTGCAATGCTGAGGGCTGCAGAAAGCGAAAGTGCTGCAGAGGATCAACACACCAACTATATAAGATGAGATCTGAGTACCAGCAACTTTTGACAAGGACTACTTAGGTTGTAACGCCAATGGCTGTTTTTCAGCACTTCGCACATAAAAGAGCAAACTAACAGGTCAGAGCTTTTGATTGTCCCTTGCTAAGTTGGTGACGGCTGCGTTTATCTAAGCTGTAGTACAATTGAAATGGCATCTACTTCAGCCAAGCGCATGTCCTGCTAAGCATACTCTGCGGCGTTGTTCGAGGAAATCAAGCTTTATAAATTCTCGCTTATACATGAATGATAAAAGAGCACGTATTGCATCTAGCATTCAAGATTATGTTGTAGCTGCAGCTCCTGCAATGCCAATGAGCGAAGCTGCCTGATGTTGATTCTTTTTGTGCCAGTCTGCAGCTGATCGACAGCTGGCAGGCTAGCTGGGTATCCAGGCTCGGACGGGCGGCCGCCCCTCGGCCGCGTATCGCTAGATCGCTATTCCTGAAGTCAACTGCTGAGCACTCCCTCAAGAAGTTGGGCCAAATGCGGCGCATGGGCATGATCATCAGATCACATGATGCAGTGATGGAGCAACTCTAACTTCCAAGGTACCAAGTCTGCTAACTCGAGTCCCATTGAATTGTCAAGAACTCTAAGAGCTCTTCCAATGACATCCTGTGATAGGATCCTTGCCATCTTTTAGTCCCCTTTTAGTTCAAGTGGTAGTCAGCAGTCAGGAGCCAGCACACAGCCAGCACAGCTTCCACCGAAGTGCCTGCAACTTTCCGGCACTAGTGGGCAACCGTTCACCAAGAGTGTTAGAGTGTTAGCAATGGCGACCAGCTTTGTCCTGAACAACGTGGCCAGCGTGGACAAGTTCGTGGAGGTGTTCACCTCAGACGCTCATGACAGCTGGCGCAAGGAAAATGGCATCACGTCGTGGCGAATTTTCAAAGTTGCAGACGAGCCCAACAAGATTGCAATCATGGCCGAGTTTTCCAGCGCAGAGGCGCTCAAAAAGTATAGAGCCAACTCCAAGACCCGGGAGCACATGGCCGGCGTGGGCATGCAGGGTCCGCCCACGTTTCTGGAGATGGAAACAATCAAGAAGAGCTCCTAAGGGGCAGTGTTGAAATGGCGACGTTTGCTCGCACCTGGACTCATATGTGAGCTATATCTGGTACAGCGTCTCCATGTGCAACGTACATGGGGAGTTCTTCAGCCTTTCTCAGTCCTTGTGTGCAGCAATTTGCACTTCCTGTAGGGCAACTTATGCATTCTTGGGCTGGACCAGCATCTGCGGACTACTAGAGTGTTTGGATAGTACTGCCTCTGATCAACACTTAGCCGCTAGGTGTTACTGTAATAGTAGCAGTCACAAAAGAATGCGGGTACGTCCTTTAGATGTGCGGCAATCACGGTAAAGCCGCGTTCCATGGGCTGGACTAGCACCTAAATCAATACCAGGAAGATGAGCCTACATCATACCAATTCAACTTGGTTGCCGTGGTGTGTCAAGGAGGTCTAGCTTACTCCACTTGGAGTATCAAAGTTTCCTAGTCTTTCTTTGTCCCTACATGGCAGCATTGTGTGGGACAGCCACGTGACCTCAGTTTTGGACAAGACCAACACCTGTTATGTTTGATACAAAGGAACCAGGTTCTCAACCTGGTGACCGCAATGATGCCGTTCAACTACTTGCTCTTGTTGAAATTGCAACAATTGATTGCTGCGTGACAATCTTGATATCAGCACTACTTTCAGCTGCTTGCAAGCTATTGAAATTGCCGGGCTCACTGCAGCCTATCACGTTCTTTGCGTTCACTATCAATCCCTGGGGTAATATAGTCTTATAAGATATCTGATATATCCCCAATTAGTTGAACGCTTATTTTATAATTTAAGCATACTATACTCTTTCGAGCTTTAGTAGAGCTAGCCCATGATGCATGAGCACGCCATGAGTCGATTGATCAGACTGCAGACTGCGTGCAATTTGAGGACACATGATTGCGCCAATGTTATATTGTTATATACCCTCATGTGAAAGACTCCTTAAGCTACGACGTATATATTTGATATGGGAGGATATTGAAGGCCCCCGGGCAATGTGTCTCCGATCTTTAACAAACACCATCCGCTAGCCCTATAAAACACGGCTGCAAGCAATCATTCGTAGTGGCTTATTGGTCCTGAAGACTGTCTGAATGTCTAAGATCGTTCAAAACCCCAGTCACTCGCCAGTAGCTCATCACATCAATGAGCGGGTTCTGAGCGTTATCAGCTGTTAACATTGCCATGAGAAGCCTACGGCCACGCTGGCTATGGCGTTACGGAGATAGGCCATCCTTGCAGTTGCTTGCAAAGGTCAAGGCATCGGGTAGGGCAGAATTGGCTCCTCGAACTAGGTAATAAAAAGCAGAATAGCTTGATCTCGGTCATTGACGGTCAATCTGCACGACTGTCTTTTCGTAACAATCAAACGACTTCTTATCTCAGCTGCAAAAGTTTGCTCTCTATGCCGGAAAGCAACGGTTGATATCTGCAAGCGATGAACATAATATAAGCATCAGTGAATCGGTCTCCGTTTCGTATTTGTTGGACCAAGCAAGGAGCTCGAAGAAGCTACACAATTAGAGCGGCCGCAAATATTCATGAACAGGGCTCGGAACTTACGCGCGACTCAGGTTCGCCATGGCGTGCGTTACTTGGTTGTAGTCCGCCGACAAGCGCTCGCACTGCTCTGCTAACTCTTCGGCCTTGGCCAGGGCCTGAGCCAACTGCTTCTGCACGTGGAGTAAGGCAAGGCCCGTTAGGAACCGTCGTGAACGGTTGTTACGAGGTTTCTCGACAAGGACGCCTAGGCTCGGAAAGGCTCAGGTGCCACCAGAAAAAGGAGGGTGCTCATTAATCCTAGAGCTACGCAAAGCGCTTGTTCCTACCTTAAGCTTCGCCTCCCGCGCCCTGGCTTCTTCCAGGTCCGAAGCTGGCACCATGCCTGCCTGACCCGGACTGTCCTGCACTTTGACGTCCTCGGCCGTGCTCCTCGCTTCTTCTGCCACCCGCTGCTCTTCTCGAAGCTGCCGCAGAGCTGCCCGCAGCTCCTGGTTCTGGCCGAGCAACTCATGCACCTGACCAAGTAATAAGCGCTTCAATATACGTGCAGAAGAGGAGCAAGCAGAGCAGTCGGTCCAGATAGCAGATACGGGTGGTGATATCAATCATCTTATACCGCTCCTTCGCTCGCAAGCGACTGAAAAAAACGAAAGTGGTGGGACGGGGCTCCGCTAAAGGCTGCAGCGTCAGCATCGTCTACGAACCTGCTGCTCCCAGCGTGCCGCAATCGCAGTATACTCGTTCAGGCCTGCGTGTAGGCCGGCGTTCTCTCCGAACAAGCGTTCTATCTCGAGCGACTGCGAGTCGATCTGCAGGCAGGAAGGCGAAACACATTCGCGATCTCGACAAAGAAGCAATGTTCCACGATCATACATCGAACAGAGAGTGAGTGCAAACCGATAGAGAACAGAACAAAAGCAATACACGAAGGCGTCCACCGTCCACTCTCCGTTCGTATTTGCCCTTCGTTAAGAAAGATTATCTCTGTCCTGCTGCGGGGAACTGACCCACCTCGGTGAGGAGCTTTTGGCGGCCCTTCTCCTGCCGCTCCACCATCATGGCCAGCTCCTTGCACCGCCCTTCCAGCTTGCGCTTCTCGTCCACGAACCGAGCAGCCGCCAACTCCAACTCAGCGCGCTCCGCATCGTCGGTCGTGCTCCTGCTCTGCTGCAACAGAAAGGGCCTTCATCGAAACACAGCCAAGTGAATTCACAAGTACGTTCGCGTCATGGACTTCTAAGAAACGTCTCGATTGCAATGGAATCCCCAGAGTGACAGTACAGAAACTTACTGCCTTGACCGAGGAGTCGGAGTAGCTGTGATGGGCTGATCAAGCACGACGTGCTTACGGATGGTGCACGGCAGCCTTACCTCGGGGGTTCGTGGGGCAAGAAACTCGGCTTTTGACTCCGCTTCTCGCCTTGCTTCGGCCGCTTCTAGCCTTGCTTCCGCTGTCGCTTCCTCAGCTGCTGTGGCCCGAGCCTGGCTGGCTCCGAGCTGCTGCCGAAGCTCCTGCGAGAGAGACGACAAGGATTAGGGAACAACGACTTGCATTTGCAGTCAACAACGACATCCAGCACCTCACGGGTCGACCACAAGTTAAACTTGCAAAGCACCGAGGAGGCACTCTGGTCACGTCAATATAAGGGCGACGAATGATAATATTGAGGCATCTTTGATGCAAAAACACCATTGAAGAAGGCAAGAGGTTCTTGCGCCTTTACCTGCAGCTTGTCCCTAGTCTGGGTAAGGACATGCTCTAACTCGTCCTTTTCCGAAGTAACTTCGGCGAGTCGAGAGGAGAGAACCGCTTGCCTCTGCCTCTCAACTGCGACGCTCTGCTGGGAGCTTTGGAGCTCAGTAAGCGTCATCTGAAGAAAAAGGAGTAGTGTCACTTTCGTGTCATTATGGATTCAGGCCTCACGTTTCTTTACGGGATGCAGAAGAAAGGGGAAGGTATGGACAAGCTCAACCTGTCTGCGCCAGATTCCGGCACCCCTTATTTGCTCAGGTGAAGTAGCCTCTTACCTGCAGCTCTGCTCTTGCTTTGTCCAACTCGTTCTCCGCAAGCGGAATCTCCTGGCTGGGTCGCCGCACATGGCCGTGTGATAGGGCCTCCAGCCGCTCCACTTCAGCACGCAGAGCGGCGGTGTCCTCCTCTGCGCGGTATTGCTCCTCCTCTGCTTCCTGAAGCCGGCGTCGGGCCACCCGCAGCTGCGCTGCAAAATCTTCCTACAAAAAAGGCAGGAATAGATAGCATCTCAAAGCTGATGAACGCTGGTCAGCCGATTGATCGAATCGCTCCCAGTCCTTGCTCATGTGTTATTTCGATGCGTACTTCAATGATTGTATCACACCCAGACACACCCTGACTCTGGAAAGGAAACACTTACTTTGGCAGCAATGGCTGCGTTTCTCTCCCCAGTGATTGTCTCGATGTTTCTCCTCAAGGAGGAAGCGAGCTCCTCCGCCTGCAGAGAAGACAAAGAGGAGGAACAAATCAGGGTGGAATGTCCCTGCACCTAGCTTATTTCATCCTCCTTATGGACACAACAATATGAGGCAGGCTATCTAGCAGAGTATATACCAACAACTTCCATGCTTTACTGAACGCAGCTTCAGCCTGTCAACGGGTCATGACTCCATGTCTCCCTACCTTCCGTCTCTCTCTCTCCACTCGTTCAAGCTGGCTCTTTATTGAGCCAGTATTCTTCTCAACTTGCTGAACCTGGACAAAACAGGTGGGTCATACGAGGTGAATTCAATCTCATATGGATCTGCTTCTACGATCCTGGCTGCGTTGGTACTGTTCTTTCAAGTAGACCACAAGTCAAACGGATTGCAACAACATGTAAGGCAAGGCATACATTATCAACATTCCTGTAGTCTCACTAAGAATGTGACTAGCAGTGCCGGCGTGTGACTTCCCTGGACTCTTAGAATGAACACATTTGCATGACCCCATTGGCCAGGTGCTGTGCTATTAGCCGAGTAGTGCATACCTGAGTCTGCAGAAGAGCCTTCTCTGTCTGCTCTCGGAGGAGCTCAGCTTGCAAGCGCCCAGTTTCGGATCGCAAAGTGTTGATCTCATTCTGAAGTCAAATGGTGACATATATGAGTACAATGAACGGAGGTCAGGAAATCTTCCACCGCAGCTTACTAGTTCGGTGTTTGTGTCCTAGCTTTTAGATGCGCCATGCTTCAGCATTGCCTACTTGTATTCTTGCAGCTGAAGCGACAGATACTTCTGGTTAAGAAGAAGCAGGACGGAGCATCGCAAAACCCTTTGAAGCAATGCATGGACGGTCAACAATCACCTCAAGGGCTCTTCTCCAAATGTTTGGATCTGGTCTGGCCTCCTCGTCTGTGGCTCCATTCTCATCCTCCTGGACTGGTGCAGCGGCATGTGCTGACTTATCCTTCTTCTTCCTGAACTCTTCTAGCTGCATGATCCATGCAAGAGTACATGTAAGTAGAAGAACTTCAAAGATTAAATTGCTGCCGCTTGAAGCGGTCAGTAGCCAGCCGCCAGTGCGCAAGGAGTGAAAACTACATGGAGGACAGCGCTGATCAAGGTTCTACCGCACTCTGAATCAGCATAGCGCTATCAGCAATGACACATCATGTCTGAACAACAGATAAGTACACATGGCCCTACAAAATGCTCTAACCTCCTGGTCTAGGGCTTTGCAAACATGCCAAAGATGGCGCAGCGCCCTGGAGCACAGCAAGTGTATATCCCCTTACCTTCCTTTTGCCCGCAGCTGCCAAATCTTGCTTCTTCATCCTGGTGGTGGTGCACTGGTCGCAGTGGTGGATCCGAAGCTCCCACCCTGCACCGCCACTGCGCCCAAGTAGCGGACGCCGGCGACCTCCCTCAGTGTCACGGCTGAAAACATCCATGAGCCCCGGGCCGAGACTCAGAGCTGAACCCTAGAAACGGCTAGCTCAGGCTGCAACTAGAGCGGGGGCAAGTTGCTTCAAGCAGTTCAAGTTGAATGCGTGCCATCACGAAGTTTGGCGCGAAGTTTTCGAAACATGGGGACGATCAACTTGCAAAGAAGGCGCAACATTTTGATATGCCGCATTCAGCTGCATCTTCATTCTGTCACTGTCAATTGCAGCGCCATAAGTGGTGCAGAAGCGAGGAGTCGGGCAAGAGGGGACCTCTTGGCAATTGCAGTTGCAGATAGGTACAGTTCCGATTAGAGCGGCGCAAACAGAATCAACTTCAATACAGCATCCCGACCGAAAAAGAGTAGTTCGTGTGATTGTTCAAAGAGACTTGGTGGTGGGTGCATTCTGCAGCACAGGCGAGCATCGCAAATTTGAGGATCTCATTCTGCGCTGAGGTGGCAAGTTGCCGAAAGCAAGCAATTTGACCAAAACTAGCCTATCTGATATAGCAGCTCCAGTCAGTGTAGGTTGTAATCAGCAAGAATCTAGAAAATCACAGCGCCAATCGCAAGCCAAAGGTCTTCGCAAGTTACCTGTCGTGGGGCCAAATAGCACAAGCAATTACCCAACCTTTTGGACCCATTTCTGCGTCGCTCTAGCCTAGAGTCAGCTTCTCAGCGCTATTGGGGTCAATCTGGTAATTTTGAACCCATGCTGTTGATGGCGCAGTGAGGGGAGATGATGGCAACCAGTGCCTCCCCTGTGCGGTCCAGCTTGCTCTGCGGGGGACTCCAATGGGCAGATCGCACCAGCCGTTCAGACTGTGTGGGAGACCGGGCAGGAAATTGCTTTGAAAATTTACCATCAAGTTCGGCTAAGACCAATGAGATTTGGGCACCACCACTCAGGCAACTGCGCTTTCAATGTACTTTACAAGGGAACACATGTCGGCCAAGCACACAACTTTTGAGCCATCGAATCCCTCTGGCACCCCCCCAATTACCGCGCAAACAGAGGTGTGTGCGCCAATGCGTAGCCAGGGGTGGCGCATCCTCCGCAGAGCCTGCTGCCCTAGCGGGCAAGACTGCGGCTGGATCGCACACGCGGGTCGTGGTCATTACTTCTGGGAAGGGCGGGGTCGGGAAGACGACCGCGACTGCGAATGTGGGCATGTGCCTGGCGCGCATGGGCAAGGAGGTGATCCTGATTGACGCAGATGTGGGACTGCGCAACCTGGACCTGCTGCTTGGGCTGGAGAACCGCGTTCTGTACACGGCCATGGAGGTGCTCGCGGGGGAGTGCCGGCTGGAGCAAGCGCTCGTGCGCGACAAGCGCTGGCCCAACCTGAGCATCCTGTGCTGCTCCAAGAACCGCCAGCGCTTCCACCTCTCCCAGGACCACATGCGCATGATCGTAGACAGCCTGCGCGCGCGGGGGCCTGACTTCATCCTCATCGACTGCCCCGCCGGGATTGACGTTGGGTTCCAGAATGCGGTGGCGCCGGCGGAGGAGGCCATCATCGTGACCACGCCCGACATCACGGCCATCCGCGATGCGGACCGCGTGGTGGGCCTGCTGGAGGCGTACGGGTACCGCGCGATCAAGCTGATGGTGAACAAGGTGCGCGAGGACATGATCGTGGAGGACAAGATGATGAGCGTGGAGGACGTGCAGGAGATGCTGTGCATCCCCTTCCTGGGGGCCATTCCCGAAGACAAGGAGGTCATTGTGTCCACGAACCGCGGGGAGCCCCTCGTGCTACGCCGCTGGCTCACGCTATCAGGCAAGGCGTTTGAGGAGACCACGCGCAACCTAGTCAAGGGGGATGATGGGGATGCGGGGGCGCAGCAAGGTGAGCAAAGGCCTTCGTCTAGTCACTCCTTGGGTCCAGGCTTACCATGTCGGTGCGCAGGGCATGGGGAGGCGCCTAAGAGGCGTTGACGACCGTTGACTGTTCATAGCAATGGGGGCTTGTGAACTATGAAACTCAAGCTGTGCTCTCCTGCTTTCTACCGACAGAGTGAAAGACTCTGAAATGCAAGGCTGATCGGAGCTGCAAATCTTTGCACAATGCGGTGCACATGGGGTCTCAGGAAACCATGAGCGCAACTTTGCAGACCAAGGGCGGTCCAGATCTCGAGGCCTTTCCGTTTTCCTGCCCGCAGCGCTGTCCCCTGTGTCCGTGAGCAGCCCCGGGTCCCTCTGGGCTGCGGTGGGCCTAGTGATGGGCACCGCTGTCGGTCCCGGCATCCTGGGCCTGCCCGCTGCCGCGCTGCCGGCGGGGCTCGTCCCATCCACGGTGGCCATTGTGGCGGCCTGGGCGTATGTGGTGGCCAGCGTGCTTCTGGTGGCGGAGGCAACCATCCAGGTCATGCAGGAGACGGGGGCCAAAGAGGTGGGCGCTCGTGGGCATTCACAGAGTGACACTACGGTGCTCACCATTCTGGTGCGAAATCTTGAAGCCTGCAATTACCCGGTGTGGGCATAACTGCATCGCCCAAGTTAGCGATCCGGTAGGATTGGTGTCAAAAGGCGGTTTGAAAGGGCACCAACATTCTTCACAATCGTCCTGGATGCTTGGAGCACGCGCGAAGGCCAAGCATCATCTTCCTCTGCTTGTCACCACTGCACATGGCCCTTTGTGTGGAGCCTATTTTGTGTCCTCAGCTAGGGGAAGCGTGCTGACTACACCCCGTGCCTGGTGCTGCAGGTCAGTTTCACCGGCCTGGCCTCGCGCTCGTTCGGTCCCGTGGGGGGCCAGGTGGTGGCCGTGGTGTACGCTGCCCTCAACTACTCGCTCCTGGTGGCCTGCATCGCGGGCCTGGGGGAGATTGTGGGCAAGGTTCTAGGCTTGCCCCCAGCAATCGGCTGCGCCGCCTCAACAGGTCAGCGAGCTAGAGCCCTCCACCGTAGACAGCTGTAACGGGTTGGCTTTTGCACTCCGTTTCTCGTCTCAATGACGAGGACGAGGCTACCTCTGAGTGCTGCCAGAATGTACGTGACGAGAGTCGGTCGCTCAAAACCGCAATCCTGAGATAACACGGACAGTTCCTGAACCTGTTCTTGCCAAGTCGGTGAAGTCGTACACAGGGGATGCAACTGGCTGGACAATCTGATCCGAAGGTGCAAAGTCGTTTGGCCCTCCCGCCGCTCCTCACCTTGCCGGCCTCTCGTGCAGCCCTGGTGGGCGGCGCCGTGCTGGCCGCCCCCTTCCCCGTGCTGGACCTCTCCAACCGGGGCCTGTGCGCACTCATGCTCCTCTCCCTGGCCGCGCTCACCTCCTTCGGGCTGCCCCACGTGGCCCTGGGCCCCGCCCTGCAGCGCACCGCGTGGCGCGAGGTGCTGCCTGCGGTCCCGGTCATGGTCCTCACGCTGGGCTTCCACGTCATCACGCCCCTCATCTGCAGCGTGCTGGGCGGCCGCCCCGCCAAGATCCGGCAGGCCATCCTGGTTGGAGGGGCTGTCCCGCTGGCCATGGTCCTCGCCTGGAACACCATCGTGCTCGGGCTCGCCAAGCAGGTGGGCATCGGGCTCGTGCTCGGGCAGCCAAGGAGTGACGGGGCCGCCGAGCGTCAACGAAGAGCTTGAGTTCCTATTTGCGGACCCGGATATTGGATTTGAGGCTTCGGTGCGATTTGAGAAATCTGCCCAAGCTGTTCTTGTAAGGACAAGGGCGATCGACTAGTCGCGTTCGCTGGAAAAAATACCGAACAGAAGGGGTTAACAAAGCGTCTGGTTCGACGTCACTTCTGATGATGGTTCTCGCGACATCCGTGGTCCTCTTCGTCCGCTCTTCACTCACGGGCATGTCTTTCTGTGCTCTTGCCAGGCCTCCGCCAGCGCCAGCATCGACCCGATCGCCCTCCTCTTCTCCCTGCGCAACTCCGCGGCCCCGGCGGTCCAGGCATTCGCCTTTGCGGCGCTGGGCACCACTCTGATCGGTTACTCCCTCAGCTTCCCCCGCCAGCTGGCAGACACGGCCGCCATGCTGACTGGCAGGGACCCCACCCAAACTGGGCCCCCACCGCAACTAGGCGGGGGGCCGCTCAGCCTTGAGGGATCCCTCAACGATGACGTTGCACCGGCCGTCGAGGAGGCGGCTCCGGGGCGGACGGGACCCGTTGCTCTGCTGCTGACGTTGCTGCCGCCGCTGCTGGTGGCCGCAACGGTGCCGGCCGCCTTCGCATCGGCAGTGCAGTTTGCAAGCATCTATGCAAACTGCTTCTTGTTCGGGGTGATCCCCCCGCTCATGGCGTGGCAGCTCCGGAAAGCGGCTGGGGACAGGTGAGATCACACCAGAATTGCTGTGCCCTGCTGATACCCGCCTTAGTAAGTCGTAGCTAGTGCCCAACGGGAAGATGACCCACCGTCAGATCAATTCGTGCTTCGTGGTCAGCTGACGTTTGGGTTTCTTTAGAAAGGCCGTTCGCCCGAATGTCTCATTGATGCATGTCTCATACAACCCTGCAGCGCTGATGGCGAGCGCCCCCGCTCCAAGGTGGAGACACTACTGCCGGGGGGAGCTCCCGTGCTGGCGGCCCTTCTAGTGGTCGCCCTAATACTGGGGGTGTTCCCACCACGGCGATAGCGGGACACACGTTGCGAGGTGGAGGGGCCAACTCGTTGCATGTCAAGCGGATGACAAGGGTGCAACAAAGAGATTGGAACGGTATGATGGTGTGTTTGGTGTGCGGCCGAAGTTGAGTTTTGTGAGTTCCGCAGAGTTCGAGGATCATTCTGCTTTGCACCACCTGGATTACTTTGCATATCTTGGGTCCGCGGTCCACTCTCCTGAAGGCAACATTGGGTTTCGGCGAATATGAGTCAACAAGTGTCGTGATGCTACAAGCAATCCGAGTCGATGTGAAGAGTCCGATCTTGAAATGCTCATTCAAAGACACGGGTCTTCAATTCTGATTTTGCCTTGTTGAGCACATATTGCATGCATGATGGAAAAGCATCACCCTTGAACAGCGTGCATGCCAAGAGTGGTTGCGGCTAGATCCCATGCGTAAGACATTTGTGCTCTTATATACAGCCCTAAAGTTTCTCCATATGAATCGACTAGCCTACATGTGAGGATGTTGGTGACATTTCTCAAGCTTGAGGTTCCCAGGAGGGGATCCGATGTAGTCCCGCGGCCTTGATTTGAACTTCTGCAGGAGCCGAACCTTGACGTGCTAGCTTTAAGCTCTATTTGAGGCCATCTAGCTCTAACCGGCTAGGTTCATGATCCGGCCGCGTGAACTATACTGTAGCCAACTACATGCACATGAGGATCGCGAGACTGCAAGAAGATCGGATGGGGCGACATTCTGCTTCACGTGCTGTTTGGTGAACTTTAATAGTACGGTATCCATGACATGAATGATACATGCGAGCTGGCATATGTGCACAACGGGCAAGCTGGTTGCACCTGGAGATTTAATGAATTCAGGGTTTTCTCGAATACCCTGAGCAGCAACCGTCTCGAGCAGTACATGATGGCGTTTGCTCAATAGCTAGATGCATTGAACGAACTGACCTGTTAAAAGGGGAGTTTGATTACGCGTAATCACCCGGACGGTAGAGGGTCGCGGCAGCCGTCGGTCACAATCTGTCAAGCCGCGGACCGTCGATCTGAGGGCGCGAGAGTGAATCGACGGAGTGACCTGGAGCTTCCGATTCAGCGACCGGTCGAAGTTATCGAGCAACAGCGTACGGCAGATTGCAAACGCACCGAGTCCGAGAGGAGAGCCACGGCCAAATATCAGATCGCTGTGAACTTCATGGGACCAGCGCCGCAGAGCGCCTGAAAGTCCGGGTCGTACACCATTTAGGTTCCTAGGTCCATGGATTGAATCTTAGAGTGTAACGAGTGCACTTCGTGGGAAAGCACTGTGAATCGATGTGCGCCAATCTGCGGGGTACACAAAAAGGACGTAAAAGAAACGTGTTGAGCCGAGAATCGATCCGCGGCTTTTGGACATGCGGGACTGCACTCTGCGACTATGCTAACCCGGAATCCCCGGGCACTATCTAGTCTTGGGAAAAGGGGTCTTATAGGGGCACGCCCTGTTTAAGGTGGTAGGACGGTAATTCAGGTTGGATTGACCCTAGTTTACGTTCTGGTTCATAGAATGTTCAAAACTAAACCAAATCAGGTTTCGTCTTCTCCAATGGCTTCGAGACACCCTCGGGGTCCTCTCGAAGCTCCTCTAACCACCTCGAAGTAGTTTGGGTCAGTCTGAGAAACCCTGCCAACTCCAAACAACCTGGTTCAAAGGGGTATTTCCATTGGATTTTCTGCCTGTCAACTGCCACGATAAATTTCCTTCGAACAAGAGGAAATCACCTTCGGGGCAAGCTGGGATGTCAAAAACATTTTTCCAAAAAAAATCTGACGGAAATGTGCACCGCCAGGGGGGAACATACCTGGTCAACAACCTGAGAAAAAACCATTTTGAGCATATAAGCTGGGAGTTTTGACCATTAACGGTGCACATTTTCGTCAATATTGTGATTTAACCGTTCGATAGACATCCCAGCTTGCCCCGATTCAGTTTTAGGGGGGTCAATGAGAATTCTATCATTTCGTTTTTCTGACGGCCAAGGGTTCATGTAGGGGGGTAAATGTTCAAACTTCCTCACTTCAGACTTTCCTCGACAAGTCGTCAGTGAGTTCGAGGTGGTCCCAGAGTGCTCGAGGGGGCCTCCTTGGTCCCCCCCGAAAGATGCAAAAGACGGGACTCGATTTGACCACGTTATGACCAAGTTACGCCCCTTCAAACCCTAGAAACCCTCTTTTCTGGCTGAATTACCGTCCTACCACCTTAATGCAGCGACAGCTTGAGCTTTCATAGCCAAGGAGAACAGGGTTTTATCTAAGCAGAAACATGGTCGTTTAAGTACTTGAATGTCTATCGCCACAGGTTCAGAGGACTTTTCTTAGAATGCACGAATATGCAGACCCTGATTGTGATCAATCAAATGTAGCAGCTATCCACAAACCTGACGGAGGCAGGAGGGCCATCATGGCTGAGTGGCATTCGCAGGTGTTGCACCTGTTGTACGAATCCTTTGGGTGGATTGCATTTTTGTCATGGTCAGTAAGTTTCTGGCCACAGGTGTTGTTGAATTACAAGCGAAAGAGGTGAGCGCAGAACTCTGTGCATATGCTCCGCCTGATTCCTCAGATTCACCTGGTTTGGAGGATGTGCAATGCTGCGGCGGCATCTCAGATTCCTGCCATGGTCCGAGGCAGGGGCATCAGCTAAGGACTTGCATCCCGGAAATATTTCTGACATGAGGGCACAAGGGGACTGGGGCAAATTGGTAGTCATGTGGCTCAGTGCTGTCCTGCTCGACCAATCCCCCCTTCTTCAGTGTCCGGCCAGCTATTGACCTCTTTCTGTAGCAATTCGAAAACCCTTTGATAAGTTTGGTGGGGCGACTATGCTGGCGGCTGAGCCCAATGTTCTAGGCCCCCATGGGGCACTCTTCCTGGGGGCATTTGTTTCTCAGACGATGTGCTTTATCTTTGATTGACGATGATACTTCCGATGCGGTCGTGAGTCCCGCTCGCTGGACCCGCCCTGACACCTCGCCTGCTTGTTGCCCTCAGTGTGGTTGGCCTCAACTTCGATTTCGTTGTCCTCAACTTCACCAAGCACTCGTCGTACCTCGTCTTCAATGCCGCCATGTTCTTCAGCCCCACAGTGCAAGCGCAGTACCACCGCAAGTACGGCCCCGACGAGGTGAAGCCCCGCGGCATACACAGTGTCCGGCAGGCTCTTTGTGATGCCTCTATTCCAGAATATTCTCAACTCTTGATTCTTAATTTTCATCTGTGGTTACAAGGCCTGTCGATTCACTGCTCAGGCCTTAGCTTCTGTGATGGGACTGACAAGGAGCCCGCCTGTCAGCTGCTGTTGGTGGTACAAGACGGTGATGTGTGGCCTGCTGTGCCTGCAGCTCATCCCGGTGGCGCCCAGTGACGTTGCCTTCTCAGTGCATGCAGTGGCCCTCACGGCAGTCACACTTGTCCAGCTCTGCATCTACCAGGTCAGAATTTCTGCTGATAGCTCCTGCCTGCAGAGGCTCCAGTTCTTTACTTTCTGCTTGCCATGTATTCCCTTTTTTGGGCTGGATACATAGTGTTTGGGTCTTGGAAAACGGGTAGCTGATCTGGCCCCGCTGATCCGCCGTTTCCCAAAGCCTTATCTCGCAAGGGATAAACGCCTCAATCTGCTCACGAACGACTTTAAATCTCTTGTGCTTATGAGACAAAAGGAGCCCCGTTTCACATAAAACGGGGCCTGCTTTGCAAAGCGCCGCTCAAGTTGTTCATGCTGCTAATCAGTGTCTGTGTTTCTCCTCTCCAGCGTGGGGCCCAGAAAGTTTCTTTCTCCGCACGCGTTATCACAGCGCTCGCCTGGACGGCTGCGGCAGTGTTCCTGGTATGGCAGGGTGCCGCACACCACCGTTGGCTTGAGGTCGTCACCTTCTTCAAGTGAGGGCCGCCGCGCTTCAGAAGAGTCGCATCCAGACCCGTCGTAGAGACTCTGATCGATTGGCCCGGCTTTGACAGTCCAGGTACTTCGGAGCTTCGAAACTGCTTGAAACCACAACATCCGCTTGAGCGTCCCTACCATCAAATGCCTGATCGGAAGCCGACTTCTCCCGCTACTTTGATGGGTGCTGGCTCGAACTTCTAACCACGTTTTTGGCTTCCCTCAGCGATGTTTGTGCTTACAAATCTTCTCATTCGGAGTTGCCTGCCGAGCTGCTGGTTACTGTCAAACCCATCGTTAAGACCCTGTCCGGTGCGTGCCTTTGCAGCTACATCCAGTTGGTGATGACCAGCATCAAGTACATTCCGCAGGCCTGGATGAACTACCGCCGCAAGAGTACCGACGGCTGGAGCATTGAGAGTGAGCGAGCCACGCCAGCCCCCTTGTCATTTTGATTGAATTCATGAAGGGTTAGCGCCGTGACGGGTAACTGGGGCGGGTGGGGTTGGCTAGGGGGTTAGGGTGGGCACGGATGTGGAGCATGTTAACCATTGGTTTAGGTTTTAAGTCCAAGTGTTTCTGTTACCCTCCATGGAGCTTGCCCTTCATGAATTGAGACTTATCCCCTTGTCCCGTGTCTTTTCCAACTGCTCTTACGAAGCAACTAAGTAGCTGCAGGTCTGCCTCTCGCTGCTGCTCCTGCTGACGCGGCAGCTGCGCACTGTGTGCAGACATCCTGCTCGACTTCACGGGGGGGGCATTGTCGCTGGCCATGATGATCCTGCAGTCAGCGGACCAAGGTGCGGTGCACGCACCGCGCACACCCGTCTCGACTGGAGAGTGCCAGGGAGACGCTCTGCTTGCTGTTGTCTTTCATACGCCACAGTCCGATCCCCTCGTTTTTGCTCCTGGGGGTCCGCTTTGTGGCTACCCATCCCGTCCATCTGATTCGTGTTTCGCCGTATTGGGAGGCGTGCATAAGCAAGCGACCCAGTACGTTGTTCCTTTGAACAAGCTCGCGTGTCCAATCTACGACATACCTCCCGACGAGTCGAACAATTTGTCTCTCTAGCCGCGAGGCTTTATCCCTTCCCATTCGTTTAGGTCTCCATCTTTCCCTCTGTCCATCTCTCCAGGATCACTGCAAAACCTCGTGGGCAACGTTGGGAAATTAGGACTTTCTCTGGTGAGTACTTTTCTTGGAGGCGCAGCTGCTTTCAAACTTTTGGCTAGGCCCGGCTGGTTTCTAAATCACCGCAATACAGAAAGCCTTTCAGTCATTGGCCTCTGGTCGGCAAGTTCCTCCCTGGAATGTTAAGCTAGCATCCAGCCGAGGTTAAATGTCCAGATCGCCTCTGTCGATTGTCACTTCAGTTTTCCTCTATGTCACCCTCATGTAAAGCAAGGAATCTTGGAGTGTACCGAATCAGACCACGGGCGCCATCCTTTGCGATTTTAGGCAAGCTTTCGTGCGACACCCGCTTTCGCATGTTTTCTTCAACCTTACAGACTACCATTGCTTATCATTTTGCAGGAGGTGATGTTATTCGATGCGTTTTTTATTCTCCAGCACTACGTACTGTATACGGATAGAAGCAGCCGCACTGTAGAATCGGCAGCGCCTAAGGTTGTAGAGAAGAGCGAATACCGAGCCGTGGATGTGTCAGAACATTGACTAGGAACGAGTCGGGACACAATTGGGACGATTTTCAGTACGTTCGCTGGAAGCCCCTGCGTCGCTAAAGTGCTCGGCCAACAACCTACTCGTCATCATAAGCGGCATGCATACTCAAATTCATATCAAGCTTGCCCAGCTGGGTGACAACCAAGTGTGGATCAGCCGATCTGTATACCGTGATGATTAATGCTTCTGCATGCTTAATGCTTACAACCGGCTACAAAAGGGTGTCATGCATGAATGTCAAATGTCAATTTCTTATATGACTTGTATCTTGCATCGGACATCCATATATGGGGTGTGATACCTTATATGATCGACGTACGGTTGGCAAAAACATGGTGCCAATATGCATATGATCGCAATCAGGACAGTATGTAGGAGCTAGAGATCCCTCAATAGCCTCGGTGGCCCACGTATTGCAACAAGATTGCAGTGGACTCCAATGCATGATGCATTAGAATTAAATCCCACAGCATATGGTCACGTACTGCATGTTGGAGGCCACGCGCATCTGAAAGAAATTATACGGACAATTGCACAAATACAGTTTGTTATACAGTCATTGATGATACGTTTCTGCAATTGCATGTTCAACTGGATGCAATTTGAATTTAGATTGAGTCGCATCGAGATATACATGTGTAAAGCTGGGTGTAGTTATATGGTGAACGAGTATACTTCTATGGAATTCATCATTCATGAATTTATGCACTGAATATCGGAACAACGATTTCTTTGCAACGAAATACTGCATTAAAACACCTCGGTTTTGGTCACTAGATTATCAAAGTTGCACAACTTCCTCCGCATGTCAGAAAAGTAGCGAGCTTTGCTGTCGAGCAGCTGCATTTTTTTCGAACGAAAAAAAAGGTTTCAAACACCAATAGCGAGATCACCTCCATGTCAACAGCCCAAGAAAAACCCATGGGCCACAATGGAACACAAGACATACCAATGTGTAATACGAAGTTCAATTACTTGTGATGAAGAGCGGAAAGTGTCAGCACAAATGTAGCAAGTTCGACAATGTCATATCCTCATATGTGAATATGTCAGATCAGTGCCTCAAAATTTTTTGATCGCCCTCTGACCTGTCCTATCCTATCCTCGTAACATGACATGAGCAGCACCTGAGGCTGGCCGGATGTTCCCGAACCCTGAAGTTGCTCATTTTAGTCTAGCCTCTGGATTGATTACATAAGTAGAAAGAATGTACAATGCTCCCCATCCTCCTATGGTACTGTTACAGACTAACTCTCATCACTTGTCTGAACCCTGGCTCGCACCCTCCCTTGCTCCGCTGACGGTCTCTTTCAATCTGCTGCCAGTCTCCTTTGCAACCTTGCTCACCTGCAAGCACAAGTTAATCAAGAGTTGGGCATTCAAGCAAAACATCTGCGGTCTTTCATAGAGTACCGCGTGTGGCCGCATTCACTAAGCCCTCAGTTTTGCTACCAACTGTAGCCAAGAAGGTGAGCCGTCAATATGCTCGGGACACGACACTGGCTTGCTTCTAGAAACTCATGATACCTATCCAGTTGGAAGTTGACAGGCAGAAACCTTTGCCCAACTGGTTAGTCTCCAAAGGTTGCTACACATAGCAAACGATGTTACCCACCTTCCTCCCTGCCTCCGACAGACCCTTTGCCATGTCACTGAAAGCGTTGCCAGCCTCATCCTTGGCCTCCCTGCATAACCGTCATGCGCCATCAGTGCCTTATCAAATTGAACAACAAATGTTGATTGGTCCCATGAGGATTGCATGCACTTGCTGGTCACCTCTGGTCACCCTCTGACCTGATTTCAATCAAACTCTTTTGCACCAATCCGGTAGATCCTTAAACAGAAGTGTGCATCCGACTTGGTGCATGCAAACTCTATTTCAAGGACTTACCCTGGCTTGCCTTCTGCCGCTTTCTCTGCTACTCGTCTTCCATCTTCCCGGGCCCTCCCCTTGTTGGCTGCCTCACTAGATTCTGGGCTAGGTACTTCAGACTGTAAAAGGAGCATGCATGCACGCGATTCATTTGAGGAAGGTAAGCTCTGGGGTCAATCCAATCCTTGAAAGCCTTGTAAAACATCACGATTACGAGCTTGGATGCACAACAAACCTCGGATGCACTGCAGGAACATGCCCTCGCAATTGCAGAAGAAGGTTGAAATGAAGACTACTCATTATGCAAATGCTGCTTTGAAAACGAAATCATGCACTTTGCTTCCAAAGGCATTGGATAGTGTCTGGAGGCGCCTATGTGCAGCAGCAAACTTGACCCAATGCATGCAGGATGATGAAGAGAAAGGGCATAGCAGAGAAACCTTGGTGTCTTACCGAGGCAAAGCTTCTGCTGCTGGTTCCCCAGGTTGCCGCCGCTGCCCTCCGAGCCACTCTTCCTGCAAGCATGGTAGCGTCTGTGCGAAGGAGCAGGGTCACACCCTCCATGAGTGCCATATTTTCGAGATGCGAACAATCTCAGATGCGAGGTCAACAAGGGCTGATAGCTTGCAAGGCGTCTAGAACGGATCGAATAGCTAGCAATGTGGTCTGCGGAAAAGTTGAGAATATCGCAACCTGCTCCTCGACTTTTAAGCTAGCGACGCGTTGCGCAGCTCTGCCAGTACCTACTGCTAGCACTAGCTGATGGTTTGCGTTTGATGCAGAGTCAATCGCAGCGCTAGACACGACAGATCACGAGTGCCACGTCAGGTGCTCGCTTTTGGTCCTTTTGACAAGTGTCCCCTTGTCCACGCAGCAAAAGCTAAGGGGCTCCCTCGCGGTACAGACCGCTGACTAGTTGAGCATACCGGGTATCGGGCATCAGCCTCTCTGTGCCGCTGACCCGTGTTTTCAGGGAGTCGGGATGGGACTTGGTGGTCAAAAGCCCGCAAGGCAGAGTCGGCTGCTCCGGCCCCGGGCACTCAACACACAAGTTACAAGTTACAACGGTGGACCGTGGGACCGATTGCTAGATAGTTTCCCGTAGTTTACCGTACCGCACAGGTTGGCAGTTGCCCCTGGCCAATGCGGCACAAATCAAATTTACATGCTTCAGTCTGACCGGTGCCCGGGCCGGGTCCACAGGGGTGCCAGATGGAGGGTTTGAATGACTGCCTAATTCGGGTTGTGAGCATTCACACTACAGGCCAGGTGCGATGTACCGACTGCATGTGGCACGCCGCTGACCATCATTGAAAGAGAAAGGCATTTTAAAACGTTTTTAAATTTGCAGGCTTCCTCATGTCACAAATTACGTATATATGCAGGATTTTGCAGGGCGGGTGGCTGCTCCGGACGCTGCTCCTCAGTTCGCCACAGGTTGTTGTTGAAAGGCGCTCCCGCGAGAGGCAGGTCCTAAGGATGACTTTACTAGACAGCAGAGTGTTGCGGCCTTTCGTATTGGACTCCAACAAGTGTGTCGCCTTACATCAGTAAAGAGTGGAGCTCAGGGAAGAAAGAAGAATTTGCGAAGTTGTCAAGCTCCGGAACAGGGGTTTAGGGCAATTTTGCAAGAGTATCAAGCTCCTAGCGCTTCAGTCCCCGGCACAGCAATAAGATCAGAAATACGGTACCGTGTCGTGTCATCTGCATCAACAACTTCTGGGGTAGATCGCACTTATACAACATGTCGTCTGACGTCAGACGGCCGCTGCTTTCAAGAAGCGAAAGTTGTCATCACTTGGGCGCACATCTAGATCATCCGTCGGACCATCACCATGGTAAGATACTCCAAACAAAGTCCTCCTCTGTCTATTGTGCTTGTTTTTGTTGAAGAAGTGAAGTGCTTGTATGGCAGTCCCATGCCGGAAGGCAGCTTCTCAGACCTTGTGTGTTACATGCAGGGTTTGGTGCCAAGAGCATCTCGTCCTGGGGGTGAGCTCTTTTAACCGCTCTTCCTTTTGACCAGTTCCATCTGTTGAGGCCTCTGATACATGCCTGGTCTGGATTGCTTCATCAGCTTCTGGTAATTTTGTTGATTCTGTCACCAGAGTGCATCTCAGTCACGCTAGCTCAGGTGTCCTTGTACTCACGGCAATTATACATTTCAGGTCAGCTGCTCTTATCTACAATGGCGCCACTGGCACGGCGATGGTGGTGTTGCCCCTGTTGTACCAGCAAGCAGGCTGGGTGACCCCCACCATGGGCTTACTAACCATGTACATTCTCAGTAGCTTTGCGGCTGTAAGTACTCATGAAACCTTTGTTTTATGTCTTCCTGTTCCCTTTGACTGGTGCAATTTACAGCTTCTGAGGCAGAGATCAGGGCACTGGACGCAGCCTGGTGCAATGGTACAGCAACGATTGTGGTAGACATGCTGATGCCTGAAATTGCATTGGGCAGGGACCTGCATTGCATCATCTGGAAGCTGATTTTTTCTTGTCTTGTGTGCAGTCCATGCTTTGCGAAGCCATTCAGCGCATTCCTGGAAACAAGGGGTTCAGCCGCCGCTGGGAGTACTGCAATGTGGTCAACCATTATTTTGGGTCTGCCGCGTACATGGCCGCCCAAGTTGGATTCAACCTCACCCTCCAGGCTGCAAACATTTCGGCGATGATTGTCACCGCCCAGGTACAAGATCAACTAACAGTTCGCTATATCATTTTTGGCGCTGACAAGAGCATTAGCAGTCAGAAGAGATCATTCAATCATATTATGCTCGTCCCTCTGGCGCCAGTCAAGAGCTCTAGTGGTCAAACCCTGGACCCCAGTCGTCGTAGTCGTCCTGGAGATTTTCAGGGCAATGTAGAAGTAGAATCTCCAACGTTTGTTAGAATTCATTCTCAATCGTTGAGTATTTGACAGGCGCAAAGGGCACGATATCTGCAGCATTGTGTTGCTGGAGCAGTGGTGGAAGCGCGGAAAGTCTTTGTGAAGCGAACCCCCTGAGATTTCTCTTCCACAGAGATGCATAGCGCATTATGCCTGCAGAATTGTGCTTTTAATTGCCTCTAGGCCACACCAAGCTAACACGTTTCGGCATACGTCGGTGGTAGGAAGTACAGAAGACCCCCCTCCTCAAGAACTCCCACTTTACAAGAAGGTGTTTCTGAACTTTGTGAGTGCCAAAAGATTCCGTCCTCTTAGCCTTGTGACACAAGACTTTGTGCTTGTTTTGGCACCACCGTCATCTGCGCAAATGCTTCCTCCAGGTAATGGACGGCTTTGTGAGGGACCAGGTGGGGGCCAGCTATGCCATCCATTATGGAGCCTGGCCACTCAGCTTTGTGCGCTCTGCCTCGCTGGACTCAGGCTCCGCCTGCGCATGGGGCGAGCTGCCGGGCGGCGGCTGCGACGCCAATGTTATCTCGCTTGGGTGAGTGCCTGCCACAACTCCACTCGAAGCCATGCTTGGCTGCACGGCAAGCCGATGTTGACTCCGTGCCTGATGCATACAGATGATTGTATTCTCGTACTTCGGGTTTTGTGAGCTGTGGCCCAGCTTTCTCCTGTTTCATTGAATGATTTCGCATGCCTGTTTGCCACTGCTCAACCTGCTAGAGCTGTCCCCCTAGAGCTGTCCCCGTCTCGGGCGCTGACTGGCCTCCGTTTGTGCGGTGGGGCAGGTTCGTGCTGTGCATGGCCATCTGCATCCCCTTCGGCTGGCTCAACCTGGAGGACAACATGGGCTTCCAGTGGCTGTCGTGCATCGGCACCATTGTGTTCACCTTCGAGTTCATGTACGAGTTTGCAAAGCGCCTCATCCCTGGGGCGCCCCTCTACTGCCCGGGGAACGGCCCCTCCCGCACCCCGCCCTTTTTACTCCAGCAGCACCAGGTGAGGGACAGCACGTGGAAGTGACTGAGCGCGAGGACCAGAGCGTGTGTTTTCAACTGTTTGCCCGAATGAGAATCGTTGTGAAAAGTTGCCGTTGGTCGGTGCAACGTAGGTGCTGGCTGACCCGGTTGTGGTGCCGTTGCAGGTGTTGGGCATCTGTGTGTTTGCGTACAGCTACGTCTGCACCGTTCCATCCTGGCTCAACGAGAAGCGCCCAGGCGTCAACGTGAACCGCTCGCTCTGGCTTCCAGTTGCGGGCGCGCTTGTAACATCCCTGGTGAGTTTACAAGCCTCTTGCCAGCGCTGGATTGCGAGCCTTCGCAGGCAGGCCCTGGCCCCTCAATTTGTCTGGCTTCGGGCCAAACCCGTCGACCAGGGCAGTCATCTTCGACACGCTTCTTCAACGTCATTCCACCTCCAGCTCAGTCGACGTTCACCACTTCGCTCTTGTGATGCCTCCACTTCAAGGCTGACTCGTCCGGCACCACTTCGAAGGCGGCTACCCGCATGTCCGGTCGTTTCTACTTGCTTGTATCTGGAAAGTCTTCTGTTTGTGCCAGGAGTTTCAATGCGACCGGTTTCCACGACGACCGGTAATTGCATGGGCACCCGAAACGTGTGCTGCTCAGCTCGGGCCCCTTTCTGCGCACTTTGTCGCTGATGCGCTCCCGTGGTCGCAGGTGGTGGGTTTTCTAGGCGCCTGGTCGTATCAACTAGTGGACGTGGGGGGACACGCGCTGAGCGGCGCGGAAGACATTCTCAAAGTGCTGGATGCCAAGGCGGCCCCCGCCACGAGTTGCCACTGGGTGGCGCCGCAGCCGCTGCTTCAATACAGTATCGTGGGGTGGTCCTTCCTGGGCTTCGTGCCGCAGATCCCGGTGCAGGGCATCAACGTGCGGTACAACCTGCAGAGCGGGGGCATCTGCGGGCCCGAGACGGCGTTCTTCTGGGGGGTCGTCGCGCCCTGGATCGGGACCGCGTTCTTGTATCAACGAGAGGTGAGGCCGCGACACAGCAGGGGAAGGGAGAGATGACGTCTTGTGGGGCCGTGGTTTACCGGTTTACCAATTCCTGGCGGGCTGCGGCTGCGCTGCCGAAGCTAGGAAAGATTTTGGTACTAAGGTCGAACAGCACCCTTACGTGTCGGACTCTAGATCCGAGGTTCACCTCACTTGTAGCGCTGCAGCCCTAGCTGCATCTGGGGACGAAGCCGGCAAAGGATGCCCTGAAGCTTCTTCAAATTGCGATGTTGCAGTAAGTAACGGCAAGTAACACATTGTATGTGAAGGGTCCGGTTCGACCAGGCACGAGGCACGGTTTGTGAGCCTTCAGACCCGGACTTCAGCTCGTGATCGCCGGCTGGCTGCGACTAAAATTGCCCCAATTTTTCCCAGAACTGGCTTACTAATATTGCCGACAGCTCACGAACATGGAAAGACATTTACCGACACGCTAGGCGCTGCTGACGGCGCCCCAGTAGTCCGCTCTCGTGCCGCGTGCCGCCGTCCCCTGACGCGGCTGGCGTGTCCGTCGCAGGTGCTATCGGTGCTGGCCAACTGGACGTCCATTTTGGTGGGCACGTTCATCAACTTCATCGTGCCGCCGTTGCTGTACCGCGCCGCGTGCCGCCGCTACCCGACCTTGGACGATGAGGACGACGAGGAAGCCCCCGCCGAGGACGCGCCCTGGAAGCTGCCGTCCGTGCGGACAGGACCACTCGAAACGGTGGTCAGTGGGGTCGTGCTGGGCGAGTCAGCCCCCGAGCTTACGTGAGTGGTCCGTAGTCGTCCACAAACACTGCAACGCATTTGTTGGTGCATGCGGTGCGGTTGAGCCTTGCTGGCTTTGGCTGATGCGAGCTGCCGCTTTTGCGTTCATTGGCAGATCTGGAGGCGGCGTGCGGTAAATATGTTGTACAGCCTTGCGCTTTTGGTCACTCGGTCGTCCGTTCATGCAGCAATGTTGCGGACCCTGAGGAGGTGCCTCCGCGGAGAGATCAGCGGGCACGGAGGCGCGATGCCAGCTGGGGGGAGGAGTCCATCGAGAAAGTATGCGGGATCTGCAAACGAAGCGTCTCGTTTGTTATACGTGCCTCGCATTTGGACGAGCCAGCCGTGGATGCAGTGCCGAAATGGCTGCGAGTGAAGCCTCGACACTTGGTGACCGGCATGGTGGTTCTCTTGGCGATCTTGACCTCAAGCGGTGCTGTCAGCTCGCTCGTGTACAGAGTGCAGAACTAGTGTGTAAGGACTCCTCTACCGGGGAGTCCGTTGATGTGTTTGCGAAAGCAGTTGCTAAACTGCTTCAATAATCTGCTTTGCGGTAGAAAGTGCCGCGCAAGCCAAAAGTTCAGGGCTGCAAAGGGCTGCAAGCGTATACCGTGTCTGATATTCAGAAACTCGATGAATCGAGGGTTAATGTATATAATCGTCCGCTTATGCTTTGGCGAGACTTTATTTGCGCCTGAGCAATTCAGCTAGCTAGTCAGAGACCAGGAGGACTATTCATAGGCAGTTTTCTACAGTTTGCAGTTGAAACTGATTGCTTGAGGTCTCACTGAGATGACCATTAATGATTTTACTCATGTTCGTCCAGCGACGTTTCTTAGAATCACAACCGATATTTTCAAGATTACAAGGGCGTCAATATACCTTTGAAGACATGCGAACAAGTGCATGCATGGTTATGCATCTCATTACGACTTTATATGCAGCGAGAATAGTATGAACCCTACTCACAGGTGATACAATTGCGAACAGGATTAATGCATAAAGTAGCAAGCTGCCCTTCCTAGCAGGAAACGAAGGTGCCGCTATAACCTGCCTGAAGCAGCCTGGCCATGTTATTGTACATGTCTGCATGGGCATCATCGTGCATTCAATCTTGCACTGTATTATCTGATTCTTCCAGGTCGGGCCCCGAATAGGGGGCTCGAACATCTCCAAGCTATAACCAGGCCTCTGTGACAACCTGATACCATACTGGTGAATCAAAGAGTTTTTCTCTTGATCTTGCTCAGTGGATCGTGTCACGCATGTTCAGTGTACTTGCAAAGCCGCCAGCTTTGCGAGCAGCGCCTGCTCCCGCTCTTGCATCTTCTTTTCTAGCTGCCCTCTCAGCTCGGGCAGCTGCTGCTCCAGAGCCAGGCGCACCTTTTCGGTCACCTCATCTGGGATAGCCGCGCGGTACGCTGCCTCGATCTCCTCTTGCCGTGCCCTTTCATCTGCCGCCTGCTTCTCAGCCTGTATTCAAGGTTGCATCCTAAATAAGTTCGTTTATGCTGGAAGGCAATCAGTCAGCCGTTGACAGAAGAAGGCCATGCATGACTGATAGTACAGCACCACGAAGTGTGAGCAAAGTGTGCTCCTACTAATTCGAAGCTCAACTCTGTTGATTGCGGTATGGATATACCATGACCAACGGGCTGGACGTGTTCCAAAAACGACAAAAAACTGTTCGAACGTGTTCAGGCTCCAAACTTCGGTTTCTTCAAAAATGACACCACGCCACTCTTTGAAGGCAGAGTTTCTGGTTCTGACTCACCCGCAGCTGATTTTCTCTTTCTTCTGCTTCTTTCCTTGCCTCCTCTAGCTTGAGGTCCCATTCAACCTGGGACATGGCCTCAGCCAGAGGCTGCAACAAGGGTGCTTCCTCCAGGCCATCATCGAGCAAGCTCGTGCAAGCGATTGTCAGCGTGCATCGTTGAGTGAAGGCATATTGGTATAACCTGAAGGGAGAAAAGCAATTGCCAGCACCTTAGAGGCCATCTGAAAGTGTTGCCACCCGCCCTTCATCGACATGGGGGCAAGACTTTGCAAAGGACCAGGAGGGCTCGTAGAGCATCCACAAACGTCACAGCAATTGGAGTCCAAGTTTTGGAAAAGTCGGCTGGCCCCAGAACTGCGCTTGCTCTACCCCAAGACAAAACAAACCAGTAGCAGCCGTTCATGAAAGCCGCTGCTCCTTTAGACACACACATTGACAAGCAGAACGTCTTTTGCAGCATGTTCACCAGTACCAGCTGCATCATCAACAGCTAGGGCCCGATCCTTCATCTCACTTGTAGTGCTTAAAGTAGGTCCTGATGACGTGCTCGGTCAGCAGCTTCACGTGCTCCAGAGGAAGAATGCCTGCACTGAACGGTGGCCGCTGCACGCTGTAGCCCAGGAGCAGGGACTTGAAGTACGCAAAACTTCGCTCGGGTGTCAAGCGCTCGAGCACAGATCGTTCATGAGTGGCCTTGACAATCTTCAGCACTGCCGAGGTTTGAGAAGGTTCCAGGCCAGCTTGCGTACAGAACTGAAAAAGGTGAAGGAGAAGATCAAGTGCGATGCTTTCTGTGCTCCCTGATCCCGTCTTCTCGTCAAACCCTAAAATGGAGGCCAGGCACCTCCTCCTGTCGGACAGCGAAGAATATTGAGCCACCTCTACGACTTGCTTACCCTCCATTTGCGGCAACATTAACAACTGCAACGCTCTTAGCTCGCTCTTAGCAAGCGTACAGTGGACGAAGCAATAGCTATGATAGATTTGAAAAGGCCATGAAAAAATGAATGTTCATCACTAGCTAGCTGGGAGTCTGGGCAGTTTGCGCTGTGCGGGAGGCTGGAGCGAACGCGTTTGGCTGCGCACTTGTGCACTGTAACCGCCCGGGCCCTGCGGCGTATACTGGCTCGTTTTTGGGGAGCACATTAGGCATGGGGACAGTCTCCGGTCGGTTAAGTCCCGCAGCTTTTGCGTGCTGGAATGCCCGGTAGGACAAAACTGGCCTGTTGCTTGTGGACAAGGCCCCTCAAGGCCCCTCGAGCAGGCCCCTAGCTGCGCCGCCGCAAGGCCACATGATGCATCAGTCATGCAGATGCCAGGTCTAGCGGCGCTAGGTCCTAGATCATGCAGGCAATGATGCATCCCCCGATCCCCTATCTCGGTCTTTCTCATAGTCAGATGGTCGTCCTCAACTCGACGCTAGCTACAGTAGACCCCCTCATCAGCTTGCTGTACCTATTCAAGGGGTCTGGTGAAAGGTCGTGAGACGACCGGGCTGGAATTTTGCTGTCGCTCCGTCCCCTCCGGCAGATTTGTTAACCGCACGGCTGCATGTTTGTGTGGTTGTTTGACTTGTCCAAGGATCCTCGGGACCCTGCGTCGACTTCCGTTCTGGATCAGCAGCATTGTCAATCCGGGGATTGGAATAACTGCCTATGGAAGGAGAAAGGATGGGGACATGGGAAGATCTGAGGAGAGAGGTCAGCCACCAAACGTAACCCTGACTATTACGCAAGCTGCATATCGAAGTTGCGCCCAAAGATCTGAGAATTTTTTTGCTGTTGTCAGGTTGGCAGTTTCAGATATCCCACAAGTTTCACCTAGCATACCCGCCAGAATTATCTAGTCTGCATCAATCTCTGTATTGCGAGCTGAAGACAGTTCAAAGGGGCAAAGGCCACTGTGTTTTCAAATGCGGAACAGGTTGCTGATTCTGCTCACTGTCCGGGCGTGTTCAGCTTGCTTTCACATGGTCATTATTTGTTGCAGGCGCGAAAGGTTGAGCACAGCTTGGACATGAAGCTGGCCGCCTACGCAAAAGCTGCTGATGATGGGTCAGCTACCAAGGTAGGCCCATCATCAGAGTCCTCTCAGACTTCTGAGCAACATCTCTGCAAAGCTTCATATGTCCTAAGTTGTTTTGACAACTTGTGATCTTGTGGAAACTCTCGGCTTGGCAACAACCACTGCAAAGCAAGTGATGGTGTTCGAAGGTCACGCCTCCACCGTCTGCAGCTGCTCGAGATTGAGCACCTCCTTCAGCAACTTGGCGATATCAACAGAGCCTTGGTCAACATCCAATCAAGGACAGACACACATGCTCACGCCCTGGCAAGGCATCACAGTATCCTTGAGGATTTCACCAGGGTGAGAGACAGCTCGCATTCCCACCATGGTCCAACATTGATGGCTGCACCATTGACCATAGCTGTTGGGTCATACCCAGTGCATTAGATGCCGCTTAGGTGGTCTGTTGCACTGACGTCCTTGAGCAGCCTAAAACATAAGAGGCACTTTGAGTTAGGAGACTGACTTGAGGTCAGAATCCATTCTGAGGGCCCGGACCAATACAATCATCCTGCGTTCCTTTAAGAGGTGGTGATGGTAAGATCCTCAGTCGTCCTCAGACTTGCTTGATTAAGCATCTCGTCATTGGCAGTCAGTGCTTGAGAAGTGTCTGTAACAGCAGTCTGCACAGACAATTGCAAGAAGGGTCGCACACGCCCATGCTCGCTCAATTGTCACGCATTATCACCTGTGTCTTACATATGTGGCAGGAGTTCAGGCGCATCCAGAGTAGCGTGACCACCAGCCGCGAGCGTGCTGAGCTGGTGGGAGCCTTCCACTCGGTGAGAGAGGAGGACTTGGCCGGCTTGGGGCCCGCTTCGAGAGGGGCACAAGACTCGGCTCTCCTTCGAGAACATGGGGCAATCTATGGGAATGTTGCACAGGTGGGCCATTGAGGTGTAGCGGTCATCTCTCAAGCCCTCATACGTGCCATTCGTTCAGGTGAAGGGCGAACACAGATCCAAGTTGGGCTGCAGGCCTGATGCTTATAATCTCCATCGCTCAAAGACCAGACCTCAAAAGGAGCGGAGCATGCCATCTTTAAGGGTTTGTGAAGGCTGCAAGCAATTGTTTCTGTGGAGTCGGCCAATGTTGGGATTTTAGTCTGATCTGCTTTTCCTTTCCGCTTACAAGATTGACGAAGTCTTGGGACAAGCCCAAGAAACCTCCAACGCACTGTCGGCTCAAAGGGCGTTATTTTTGGGCATCAGCGGAAAGGTCAACAACCTTGGGGCCCATACCTTCCCTGCGGTAAGATCTCAACGAAATGCTTCATGAAGAGAAGTTTCAGTCTCTACTACAATGCATTCTCTAAAACCTTTCCGAACCAGAATGATTCAGATTCTGCATTTTTCCTCTCTGCAGTAAGTGTTCCAGTGAACTTGCGACAACGTGCATTGACTTTTGCTCTCTTGCAGGTCAATAAACTGATATCGGACATCCGGAAAAGGAAGTCGAAGGACACGCTCATCCTGTCCACTACGATATCAATATGTACTCTACTAATCATCCTCTACTGGCTTTCAAAATGAGCAAGACTTGCGGTTAGGGTGTTGAATCAACATATTGGTGTTTATCATTAATGTCGTAACTCGTCGTTCAATGTAGAGCTAGGATAGCAACTGTCCATTATACTGCAAGTGTGAGTGAGCCTATACAGCTTATCATATCTGGTTTCCTGAGGTCGGGACGATCGACATGTATATGTAGGTGGAAAACCCGAGCTTCTGAAAGCATATGTGTCATTGACATATATACTGCATCCGGATAAATTTCAACGCCCCCGAGATAATATGCTGAATTGAGTGCATGGCACCGGCCCTGGCTACCACGAGCACCATGGTTCCGATATATAACAAGTAACATCTAGAATTAGATCAGAGCTCAGTGCAGAAATTCCTTTAAAACACCATAAAATATGTAGTAGAAGCATAAGTACAGCTAGCCGGTGCATGCAACCATGTGCAGATGCAGCCGGCGGCAGTGATATTGCTGATCAACCGAACTGATGCCTATGCAGGAATGTGACCGTAGGACGGCCGTCCATGCTAGGCAAGTAGAAGCTCCCTCGCGATCTGCTGTTCTCAGTTGAGTGCAGCAGCACACATGGCTTGTCTAACACCGGCTCGGGAATTAGGAGAACTTGGCACTTCCGCGAACGAGGTGAAAGGCAATTTCTCCTTTATTTACGCCCTTAATAAACATCAGAGCAATCAGACGTGCCCTTCAGCACTAGTCTGCCGACCTTCAAAATACTGACAACATGTCCTCCTCTACAAGCAATCCACAAAGCCACTGTTGCCAGCTAGGAGTCTGTCAAGACGCATGTTCCATCCGCTTTTAATGTACACATGTAATCTGCAACACTGCTCGCGAAGCAACAACTTTGCCAAAGACCTTAATATGCAGTCTGTGGACGCCCGGTAGCAAACCAAAAGAGCCCACACCACCTGCGAGCACGCAAGGCTTTGCAGAATGAGACGGGTCGCTATCCTCGCCTCAGTAATTTTCACGCCACGCCCTTGAATCTGTACACCCCATTGAGAGACAAGACTCCGCCAAGCGACCCATCTTTGCTGGGTGCCCCCGCCGCGCGCGTTATTGGTAGTGCAGCAGCGACCAGTTCTGGTACATGATGGCCACGCACAGCATGTTCCCGGTGTCGTCCAGCACCTTCCACATCAGCGCCTTCTCGTACCCCACCGACTGCCCTTTGCACGACAGAGTGACCCCTGGCGGCAAGTATGCATACCCCTGCAACCAAAGCAGGCAGAAACGAATCACACCGTGTTCTTTCAAGATGAAGTCAGGAAAAACTTTGCTGCGAGCCCGGCCTACCTAGTACGGAACAGCGATTCGCAAACAAACTCTTGACGAGAGCAAGGGCGGTGCGCGCTGCGTCGGCTGACCTGCTGCAGGACTTGTGAAGAAGCGGCGTAGACGACCTTGCGGCCGTCCTCGTCCATGGACTTGTTCCAGTCGACGCCCGCCAGCTCGTGGATGGACGTCCCCAAAATGTCCAGCCCCGCCTTGTTGGCAAAGGTGTACTCGGGGCTCGCCTGCACCAACCTCGCCCCTGTCAGTCATTTCCCCCCCGGCGGAACCAGTCCGGCCTCAGAGCAGCGACTGAGGCAGCATATGCCTCTGCCTGGCAGCTTTTGGGAGGAACTCGGCATTGCTTCACCCGGTACATCAAAGCGGCATCTGGCATGTCTCTAGTTCAGAATACTTGTAGACAGCCTCGTGCGCGCCAACTTGACGAGTTCTTCCTGGGGCGCCGCGCGGTGCGTACCTTGACCACCCAGCACAGGATGGCCGCCGGGTGCAGCCAGAAGGCCTTGAAGACGGCCTCGGAGGAGGGGTCCTTGTCGTCGCACAGGTCGCCGCCCATGTGCAGCTGGTAGCTCGACACCACGCGCTTCGCCAGCAGCAGCGCGTCCGGGCTCGCAGGCGGGCTGCGCGGACTCGGGGCCAGCGCCTGCGCACACCCCAGCAGCACCACCACGCTCAGGCGCTGCTCACCACGAGGGAGCGAGGCAGCCAAACACACAGCAGGAGGGAAAGGGGGCACTCGGGACTGGGGACCATGCATGGGCCACAAGCTTCTCGACAGACCCCCGGTGATGGGCTATGCCCCATGATCCGACGGAATCTTTGCGTACTTGCTCAACAAGCTGCTACTCAATCCAGCGGCTGGGAGTTTTGCAGCATGGGAGTTGGGGGCAGTCACCTTGATGCACGTGGGCGCGAGCGCCATGGCGACCCGCTGCACGCTGCCGACCACGCTGCGCACGTACTGGCGCGCCACCGCCGCCACCGCCTCCTCCGAGTGCGGCTCGTACGCAAACTGGAACGCGATGCTCAGCACGGACTTCCAGCACTGCGTCACGTCGTCGCCGCTGCCCACCGGGTCGATCGCGTGCGCATCCAGGCTGTTCTGGCCGGCACGCCCGCCGCGCAGGCCGTCCGCCTTCTGCAACAGCACGGCAGCCCGGCAAAATCAACATTTGCGGGCAACATGGGTCCACACCGCGGAACAAAAGTGGCAGAGGCTCAGCGTGGGACCTGAAGCCAAAGAAGAGCGCCAACGACGGCCTCAATCTGCCCGAGACACGTCGTGTGCTTCCGGAAGAGCACAACATGGTGCGCACATGGCAGCCAAGGAGGGAGAGTTGCCAAGGGACACGGCCTCGTCTGCTGTGCATTGCAGGCGGGAAACGCATTTGCTGGACGGGATGCGCGTTGGCCTCACCAGTTCTTCGGTGTCCACGGGGATGACCCGGAAGCCGGAAGGGAGGAGGGGCACATCCGCGGCCGCTGCCGCGGCGTCGACGGGTGCAAAGACGAGCTGGGCGGCGGCGGCGGAGTGGACGTCGGGGCAGGTGCAGAGCTGCAGGAGGAATGTGTCGCCGTCCTTGGAGTACGAGTTGCGGCCCTCCAGCTTGACCAGCTCCAAAAACTCCTGGTCGTCCATGGCCACCGCCAGCGGGATGTCGCTCGGGAGCAGGCCCGCCTCGCCCGCCTTGCGCTGCCGCCGCAGCGTGCCCTGGATGGCGGCCGCCGTGGACGCGTCAATGTCGGGGTCGGCCCACTCGGCGCGGTGGTCGTGCATGAAGCGCACCAGCGTGGCGGGGGGCACGATCTGCAGCAGCATGCTTGCGCGCGCGCATAGCACGCCCCCGCTGCCGGCGCCGGCGTCCTTGGCACTGTTGGCGCGCGCCATCACGCTGACGTCGTCCATGCCGTCGCTGGGCAGGCTGACCCACTGCTCGTCCGCAAATGCGTTCACCGCCTCGTTGAAGCCCCTGCGTGCGAGAGGACGAGGTCAGTGCACTCCCCCTGTCAACTCTCTCTGCAATGGATCACGTCCTTCTAGGGACCCATGTTGCTGGAGCGTACAAGTCCCCTGCCTGGGTTGTCTCGAAGTTCCTCAGAGCGTTGGATATGCGGCTTGAGTTTGACAAATACGATGGAGCTTGGATACCTTCAATCCAGCCACAAAACAAAGAACTTGTCAACCCCTTGAACGTGCAAAGGTTCTTGACGTGCAAACTAAGCGTTCAGAGCACATTGCAGTGTCTACCAGTTGGAGAAACAAATGCAAAAGAATCATCTTCCAGTTAAGCGCGGAGCTCGTGGCTGGCCTACCTCGCTAGGCGCTCGGTGATGACGCGCCAGGCGGCGGGCTGGTGCGTGGTGCCGGTATCGGAGTCGGGCCCTTCCTCCATGGCGACCCGCTTGAGGAAGCGCAGGGAGGAGAGCGTGTCGTGGTGGGCCAGCACCGCGCTCGACGAGTACAGCGGCTTCAGCACGTCCAGCACGCTCCACGGCTGCACCGCATAGGACCAGGAGAGTGAGCGGCGCAACCAGACCCGAGGACCAGCGTGGAGATCACAGTGCCAGCTTCAACAAGTATCGTCTTGTCGACTGTCTGTCCAGTGCTCGGCGGTCTTTCTGAGCATAAGAAACGGCTGTTCCAATATTTTTCTATATTCCACGTAAGGATTCAGGGCGGCACCAGCAGTGCTGGCCTGCGGCAGGGTGGCACGTGGAAGCGCACCTCGAGGTCTAGGTGGTCCACTGCAATCAGGATGCAGCCGCCGCCGTCGCATGGCCGCAGCAGGAACCCCCCGGAGAACACCTCGCCGCGCACAAAAGCAGGGGCGGCAGGCACACTGGCCTCAGTACTGGCCAGTGACCGCTCGCAAATCTGCACACATGAGGAGAGGGGCTGAGCAAAGACGCCCGAAACGGCACCCTGGAAGCGATGAGAGCCCTGAGGCGCCGAGCCTTGCAGCAAAGCTCTCCATGTCGGTTGCTGCTGGCACCACACTCAGCCAGCGCACAGATGGTCCACACAAGAAAGACCCCGTGCAAAGGATAAGAGGGGGGAATAAGCGACTGACCACAATGGCCCCATCATCCAAGACAGTGGTGTAGCGCACGGTGCAGAAGTCGCGCGGGGGTGCGAGGGTGGTTGGTGCGTACATCTGCACGCAGCGGGGGAGGCACTGAGCAGTAGCCATGCAGCGCAGGCCAGGGCAAGCTGGAGTCGCAGAAAAAGCACCGGGACGCCGGCCATGGACCAGCTTTGCAGGCCGAACGGCGGCCTTTTTGGGGCAGTAGCTAGCACAGCGCTAGGGCTTCTGGGCGACGCTCAAGGAAGCAGGGTGCTGGTGTTTGACAAACTCCTCCAACGCAGCACGTCTATCGCACACTGACAGGCAGGAGGCCTTGCCGGATGCTGCCCTACCTGCGTGTAGAGCAGGTCCACACGGCCGGCCCCCGCGGCAGTGAAGCCCCCCAGCACCTCGCATCGTCGGCAACCCCGCAGCCAGGCCGCCTTGTCCTTGAGCAACTCAGCCGCCTGCCAGAAGCAGCACGCACTCAGCAACCCAGCGCTAACTCGTTCCGACAAGTGCACTGCGCTTCACAGCGCTCCCGAAACAGAAGGAGTAAGACCCACCCAAGCGGTTCTGACAGAACTGGAGGAGGGAGAACATGGACTCCCGAGCCAATGTAAGGGACCCCCTCTCTAAGTATCACCCCCTAAGATCAACAATCTGGGTTGATTGGATCCACTGATTGACCATCGATCGAAGGGGTTGAACAGCAAGGGGGTCCCTGGGGAGTCCGCGGCAGTCCCAGTTCTCCTTCCCTTTCTTTCAGATAGCAGAGCGTGTTGCGTGCTCACCTTTGAGGCTGGCAGAGAGACCAGTCCGCAGACGCGTGCGGCCACCCCGCGGGGCCCCTGCGCGATAGACGTGATCCCCAGGCTCTCTGCCCCCGACTTGAGCAGCGGCAGCTGCGTCCACTCCACAGCCGTCCCCGTCGCCTTGGCCAGAAACTCTTGGCACGCTTCCTGGGCGGACTGCAGCAGCCTGCATCCGCGGGCACAGGCAAAATCGTCACAACCCGCAGGGCCGACGGGCCACGGCACCCTTGTTCGGGGCAGCTGGGTTCAAGGCAACATGGGGGGTTTCCACCACCACTTCACCCTGCCACAGAGGGGAATGTGCCGTGTAGTTTGGCGGGGAGCCAAATCTTGCTTGTGCTTGTGCTTGTTGCGAACGCCAGCAGCTGAGGGTACCAACAACCACTACCGGCTGTGCATCTTTGCTTGTCCCAAAACGAGCTTGACCTTCTCTCACCGGTCCACCGTCTAAAGCGGGTAACGAGATTTGCTTGTCGATCTTACCAGCAACACCGCACGATTACCTTCCCAAGATGCATACCCTGAGATTTAAATGTCAAGTTTAACAAGAAATCGCGCTACCAGCAGACAACCCGGCTGGCGCCGGGCCCATCTTGCCAAGATTACCGGGACTGTGTTTAGGCGGGCGCTCACCCTGCGGTGTTGGAGGGAGTGCGCGTGGCAGCAACGGGTGCTAAGCCGGGCTTGATGTGCGCCAGCCCGAGCGTTAGCAGGGAGCCCTTGGCAGCGGCGTCCCCCTCCCCGTTGATGGTGGTCCCTGCGGAGTCGTCGGTGGGCAGGCTGAGCGAGGCGGACTGCTCGAGCGCTGCGTCGGTGAGCTTGCGGATCTGGTCGGGGAGCGCGTCCTCGTTGGGGCCCGCCAGCACCAGGCTCAGGTTGGGCGCCGGGGCTCCCTGCACCACGCAGCACACGCCTCACGCACAGGAGCAGCAAACTGGAGGCTGAAAGCAGGCCGCGAGATGAAGCACTTGGGTAACTTTTAAAGAAACATACCAGGAGCTGCTCGACTAGAGGGTAGGCGGAGGAGAGACAAGAAAAAGCGGACCGTCTGCAGTCAAAATCCTTTGAATGGCCCAAACCAACCTAGTCGAAGGCAGACCCCCCGGACGACTGCCCTGATATACCTTTGAGCACTGCAGGGGTGGCAGAGTGGCAGGGGGTCTCACATTCTCGAGCTTGGGCAGGGCCTGGTTCATGGACTCGAGGCGGAGCTTGAGGAAGCGGTTCTCGGAGGAGAGCTGCAGCGCCTGCTTGGTGAGGCGGTCGTTCTCCTCCAGCAGCAGCTTGTTGAGCGCCGTCAGCTTGGCATTCACGCCCACCAGGCGGGAGCTCTCCTTGCGCTGCTTCTCTCGGCATCTGTATTCAAGCCAAGGGAACGCTTCACACAGCAGAACAAGGTCTGGGGCTGCAACCCGACCACGTGCAAACCGCACAGGCTGTGCAAACGACTTTTTGTTGTCGCTTGGCTCAGGGCACCCAGTGGCACACCAACCAAGCTCCACCCCCACTTGCGAAGGGTGGGAAAGTCCGCAATGTTGTAGGTCTTGTCATGCTTTACTAGAAGAGCTCTGAAAGGCCAGCATTTCAAAGGTGGAGCAAGGTCACAAGCTGACAATGTCTTTCAGGATTTCAGCGAGCTGCGCTGGAACAAATAGGGTTTTGCACTCCGGTGCAATATCCAAGACTGCAATGCTACATTGCACATGCTTGCAGACCTGCCTGAAGCAAAAGCAACAGGTGATCGAGGGGCCGCACACCCGTTGCAAAGTGCCTCTGCAAAGATCATTCTGCTGCTTTGTGTGCTACACAACTGCAAGCGGCACCCATCGCTGCACAATCTCATCAGCGAGCTTGTCACACTCTGCACAACGGCTGCTCATCTGAAAAGTTGACTATTTCTTGCAGAACGAGGCGATGCACTGAACCAAACGATCAACCAACTCTCTGTCCAACAAAGGCATGCAACAGCCTTCACGTCCACTTGTGTTTTGTAAGATCCCAGTGATTGCAGCCCACCAACCCTTGAGGCTGCCTTAACAAAAATGCTGACAAAAAAGATTCGACCCAAAACTCAGGATGCATGTGCATGGTAAGCTGGCAAAAAGCTGTGGCAGGATCCACGCAGACTTACCTTCTGTTTTGAAACCAGACTTTGATAGACTTGACATCGATGCCGGAAAGGGCAGGATAATCCTTGACCAGGGCCGCCCGCTTGGCAGCACTTGGCTTAGGGCACTCATTATACTCCTTCTCAAGGATTCGTAACTGCTCGCTGCTGTACTTGACATATCGGCCCCCTCCACCGGTCTCCTCGCTGCCCCCCATGCTTGCGACAGAGGTAGGACCGTTATCCTCTCATACTCTGCCAGGAATGTCCCATTATCACTGTCAGCTGCTTTTCCCTGATTATCAAACCAGAGCACTGGCAGCAATCTAACAGCTTTCAACACAGCTGCCCGACCTCACTCCCTTAACCCAACTTATCCTTGCAACCATACAATTTTCATAGCACGCTGCGGCTCAATCTCGCTGTCATCCAACCGCTCCCGCCATCCTGGCTTGAGCAGATGTGAGACGGTTGCCTCCGACCATGGAGCTTTTGCATTGCCATAGACGTTCCAAAATCCGCCGTCAAATGATGCCCTGGCAATCGGCAACCTTTCTGCATTTCCTCCACATGCCAGACTGAAGCGCAGGTGCTGTGGCGGCTCGCCCTGGCCAGGCTGCATCAGAAGACTCCAGCAGCCAGCTAGGTAGATCATGCTCCTCCCTGAACATTAGAACGTGGGGTCATCAAACTTACATTTAACCTGGCCGGGGGACACGCGATTTAGCTCTGCTTTTACCGTCCAACCTGTTGACGTTCAATTACTTGACGGTTCCGATTGCTTCTAACAAGGGCCCGGCTCATTTGACCCATGGTCCCTGACGGGCCTGACGCCGGCGGAGAAAGTAGAGGCTAAATAACCTGAGGATGTTATTATTGTCTTCCAAGAGTTCAATCCGTACGCGGTCTTCGCATCTTCAGTGTAGGAGCAACCAGTGTGCGAGGTTGATGCGCATTGCGCGCTCCAAGTTGCAAATGAGCACCATCGACTATGGTACCGCACTGCGCAGTCTAATTGTGGATATGCGCAGTGCTGCGCACTGCAGTGCGCAACTTTTAGCAACGAGTTCACTGAAGCAATCATTGCCAAAATCAAACGAATCATAACCGCAAATCCAGGACTGACCAACATCATGACAAAAATTGACGTAATCACTTTTTTGCCTAAATCCGGTGCACCGTAGATGGATCATCATTCTACGGTGCTGAGCTTGGAGTGCAGTACCATTTAATACAGGTACACTTTGAAGTGTACGGTTCCCCATAGATACACTGTACAGTACTGGCAACTCCCTTGTCTCACATTAAGGCCCAAGGGTACGTACCGTCACTTTGAAATGCGCATGCACCCCCTTAGGTATTCTGTTGAGAGGCCCGGGGGCTTGGTTTGCTCCCGCCACTCAAAGGTGGGGAGGGAGGGGGGGCTTGAGGTATGTTTTGGCTTGGGGCGAAGCCCCAGCCGAATTTCAACTGAAAGACATGCTTTTCATGCTGATTTATCATCTTTTAGACCACGGGTCCGAGATTCTAGACCATGAATGCAACAAAGAAGCACTTTTCAACGTTAAAAAGGGGCGAATCTATGCATACGACAGTGCTTTCGTCCAAAAGGTTTGCCCGGGTGGTGGCTATGTGGACCCGGGCCTTGACCTTATCTGTGAAGACAAGGCCGGGAGGGGGGGGGGCTTGAGGCCTTCCAGGCTCATGTGCCGGCCTCTAAAATACCTAACCGGGGTGCGGTAATTGACAAAGAGTGACTTGTCCTTGTCTCGAGGGAGTTGCCACAATCGAATCCCCAGGATCGATCAGCCAGACTTTATAATGAAATACGGTACCGGCGTATTGCCCCGGTCGGACGGACCCGCTAGACCCGATCTCCATCCGACACTCCCGAAAGCTGACCAACGAGTCACGGCGACTCACGACTCAGCTCACGTCCCAAGAGCAAACCAAGCGAACCGGTTCTGCAGCAAAACTCTGTCACTTTCATGGTTTTACACGGTCCCATCGGCCGGGACAGACTCATGCTGTGCTCGGCGCTCGCAGCTCGACGACTGTAGCCGCTGGCCGGTAGTCGGATACCTACCGTGTATTGTACCTATGTACAACAAACCGGACCAGGCAACGCCGTTCACACCAAACGATACAGAGTTTAGAAGGCTCGCATAAGACAAGGAAGTTGCCGTCCGCCCAAGTGAATGAGGATCAAATCGGTACCGGTACCTTCGTAACCATTGGGTGCGATTCGGGTTTGGCCAGTACAGGGACTGGTACAATATTACTGACTACGGTACCTTGCAAGTTGCGGCCAACTGATAAAGATATTAGTACTGGTACGTTCAAAAGTTCCGAGAGTTTGCATTCCTCGGAATCCACATTACAAGTCCTTGTGGCCATCCATTGCCAGTTTTTGCAAGACTTTGAACGGGTAAAATTAAGTTGAGAGGAATAGTAGAAGTCATACCATTCAACATCTACCAGCTCGTCGTGCCATCTACCGGTACAGCGCGCTTGACGGTCGTTCCAATTCCAGATCGGTCAGTCAAAAGTTCCGAGTCAGTTTACGCGTATACCGCCGCCCGGCCGCGCGTGCCACCTCGGCTACCGCCCCGCCCGGCCCTCACTTACAAAGGGCGGAGAACGGAGAGGCAACTAGATTGGCAGCACACTGTGCTGCACTCGGCATGCCATTTGATCGATTTACCATGTACATTTTGCGCCGAGCGGGTTGAGACCGTCGGATCTTAATCTACAGATTTAGGTTCCTGATGATCAGGCTTGCAAACTTGACACAATGTAGGCAGGAGCGTTCCGAGGCGACGGTTGTACCCCCTGGAGCGGACTAAAATCGCAGTCGACGGCCTGCGACTTTCAATCTCACGTGCGAACCCCCATCGGAGGGCCTGCGACCGTCGGCCGACCTACATGAACCGCATAATACGACAAACACTTATGAATACACTGTATCGGTTTCTAGCGTCAGGTACGAGACACTACCCACAAACCCTGCCCGATGCATACACCGACTTTGCTATAGCACTGCGAACCTCCTGGAAAAAAGGTCGTCCAGATTCTTCTCGCATAAGAGAATCGACGGATTTCTAAGGGTAACAAGGCGGACGAACAAGCGAGGGTCCCTGTGACGCGGTCGCCAAGAAATTTGCGACGTCGTACTGCGGCATTGGACGACACCATTCCGGAGGCTTTCGCCATTTTCAATAACGCGTACGCTCGCGCGCATCCGGGGCGCACACTAGACAGCAAGAAAATGGCATGCCAAAAAAGTGGCCGGCCTAGCTGCAGGCCGGCCGAGGCATTGCAGAGTTGGGGACGAGAGGACTCAGAGGAGGTTTATGTCCAATCGGGAATCACATGTCAGCTCTTGCGCTGTTGTAGTAATCTCGTTCGCGCATCTGCACGCAATTGCAGGCTCGTGCTATCCAATGCATCGATCTACCGCATCGGGCTGCCCATTTGATCATAGCACTTCAGGTGCAAGGCCTCTTGCGCTGTCAGGATCTGTCGATTGTGGAGATTCGTTCATGATCGCAACATCAGGACCTATACCTATATCACTGAGGAGTTCCTATTCTGTTGCAAGACCAAGTCTCGATCGGAATGGTTCCCCGCCACTCACTCGCCAAAAGCATCACCAAAAACATTTGTAAGACATAGCCGTTCCAGCACCTTAAGCCTGACATTTTCAATGCTTGATTATGGAGAATCAAGTACAACCTCGACACAGAGCAGCAGGAACTGGTTTGGGAGTTCAACTGTACGTGAAAAGCAGTTGCTCTCCGCTTAGCCCTGTGCTCCTATGAACTTTGATATTGCGTATTCTTGCATACAGCTAGACCACTAGTCAGTCATCCTACGGCTAGCACTGCTTCCGCATGAACGCAGAGCTAACAGGGAGTATCGACTGGCATGAAGAACCTGCGGGATGCTCATAGCATCGTCTGCAGGTCCGCATCTTGCTTGGCGAGTTCTAGAAGCATGGGGTCGTCGAAGAACTTGTTGATGCTGACGTCCTCGCTCATGCCCTTCCTCCTCCTGGTCTTGACCATGAATTCGCGCGCCAGCGCGTTGGCGGGGGCCGGCTCCAGCGGCCGCAGAACGATGGACTTGTCGAGGGGGTCGCCGGGGACGACCTGCCAATGGTCAAACACGGAGAGGCAGAAAGCCTGCCCCTGCGTGTGGTACCGCAGGTCTGTCTCGAAACCGAAGGACTCGATCACGGGAAGGAGCGCCTGCAGGTGGGACAACAAAGGGGGCTCAGACGAGGCAAGAGCCTTGCAAAGGAGGGCACCCGCAAAGAGCAGCAACGGCCGCTCGGAAACGCCCAAAAGATGACACCAGGAGCCATCGATATAGCGATCGCTCGTTGCTTGCAGACAGAATCTGACTGACCTGAACGACGTAGAAGGGCGTGCCTGGCTTGGGCACGTCCTTGGTGACGTGGCCACGGCGGCGCAGCAGGACCGTGTAGATAGCCTGCATGCAGTCGGCGGGCGTCTGGATCTCGCAATAGTACACCGGCTCCATGAGGCGCGGCGTGGCCAGCAGGAACGCGCTGTACGCCACGCGCCGGGCCGTGGGGATCACCTGCCCGCCGCCACGGTGCAGCGGCTCGGGGGCGATGGTGGCGTCAATGATCTTGAACTTGACGTTGCGGATTGGCTCATCGCACAGGGGGCCCTCCCGCGTCCCCCACTGAAACCTGCGCACAAGCAGGGGCGGGGTCGGATCACAGATGGCAAACTCTCACGCAGGGAGGCTGGGGGACCGGCTGCCGAGAGGTTGAAGTCTTCTGATAGTTGCAACTACGGATGACGCTGCGTTAAGATGTATCAAGTCCAGCCCTGCAATGAATTGCTGAGGGCTCGACGCATGCAAAAGGGGACGCGCAGTGGACGTGCCCGGATTGCCAGCGCTCACCCTTGAACGATGGAGTCCTTGACGGCGGAGAGGAGGCCCTTGTCGACCTCGGACGCGAGCGTGTCGTCCAGCAGGATGTTGGGCCCCTGGCGGTCCGGCCCGAAGGCCCACACGGCGCGCGCGGCCAGCAGGTCCCAGTCGTACTTCTTCTGGAAAAACTCGCCCACCTTGCGCTTGGGCCAGTCGAGCGACACGGCGCCGGCCTCGATGTCGTCCGCGAGGCCCGCCTCGAGCGGCTCCGCGATCATGGTCAGCTTGTTGCGCTTGTTGGGCGTCTCCGCAAAGCACTTGAGGCTAGACGTCTCCACCGCGGTCTCGCAGAAGGCGACGCCCGGGTCGGCGACCTTGACCTCCACCTCGCTGTACAGCTCGCGCAGGTCCTTGAGCATGCTGTCCAGCGCGAGCTCGCCCGTGCCGCACACCGTGTGCTCGCCGCTCTCCTCCACGCGCGTCACGGCCAGCGGGTAGCTCTTGCTGATCTTGCGCAGCGCCTCCACCATCTTGGGCAGCTCGCTCGGGTTCAGCGGCTCCACCGCCGTCTTGACCACGCTCACCGTGTTGAACGCCAACGGCGCGAAAATGTACACGTCCTCGTCCACGCCCGCCGCGCACAGCGTGGCTGCGCCGCGGATGCTCGCGTCCACGCCTTCGATCAGCACCCACTGCCCCGCCCGCACCGAGCCCACGGCCACGCGGTACCTGCCACGCAGCACGCGACAGGGGCCGCTCAACAGGAGAACGAGCAACAGTCGGAAAATACAGGACCCGCAGAGGAAATTACTGTCATGAGCGTCTGACAAAATCTGCACTCCTGTGTAACATTGGGATAGCTCCAGCTCGCTTGACCCAGGTGATAAGAGACGGACCCATGGTTTAACAGCAAGAAGACGAGCAGTGGCTGTCCTCGCACGGAGGATGCATATGGACGTCAAGAAGCGGCCACGCAAGACATGGCCCCTTCGTGCTGTCCAGGGACAAAAGCAGAAACCCGTTGCAAGCGGGCAATCGCACCTGGCCTGGTAGATCCAGAGCTTGGTGACGTCCTTGGTGGTCATGTCCTCCTCGTCTTCGGGCGTGTACCCCTCCCCCAGCACGCGCACCGCCGCGCCCGTCTGCAGCGTGCCGCTCATCACGCGCCCAAACGCGTCGAACGACGACGTGTCCGCCTTGGGGTACTGCTTCGTCACGGCCACCATCAGCGGGCCCCCTGCATCGCACGCGCGCATCGCCTCTGCCAGCGCGCTCGTTTGCGGCCCCGTGTACGTGTGCGCTACCTGCATGCACCGACCACCCAACCCTGCATCAGTGGGCGGGCTACACGGCTGCAAACACAAGGACCCGTACTACCAGCGTGCCGCACCGGAGCGCCAGAAAGGGCTCCTTCTGTACCGGCTGCTGCCAAACCGGGTGTCGGGGGTTCAGCGGCCAGAATGCAAATGGAAGAGAGGGGAAAGGGCACGGGGCAAAGAGGGCGGTGGCTGACCTTGGTTGCGGCGCCATCCTTGGGGGACGGGATGTGGCGCACAAGCATGTCGGCGAACCCGTGAGCGGAGCCAAAGACGGCGCTGCACGCCAGCTTCAGCAGCGGCTTCACGTTCAGCTTGTACGCTGCACACGGAGGGGGGGGGAAGCACTCAGGCGACACGGCAGGCAGGCAGCAACGCAGGGTAGAAGAAGTAGAGGCATTACTATGGCGAGGTCTTGTCCTATTCTTGTGCACTTAATCCTGGGTCCCGTTCCCGCATCTTGAGTCTGGAATGTCATGATCTTGGATCTGACTTTTGGAATATGAACCAAAAAGGACGTTTACCAAAGTGGCGTCCTGAAGCTACTTAGTACCTCCCCGCTATCCTGCTCGGTAAACCTTGGGGGCACTTTACCGACTTTTCCGGGTTCACTTTCCACGTAGGAACAATTCTAACGGCCAGGGTAGATTATGATTGGCATTGGATCAAGAAACGGACGATGCAGACCTGCAGAAAGTGCGTCCTCACTCAATGAAAACTTGCAAAAAGTGGGACGCGGTATACGTGGCACGAGATTGGGGTCCGCGGGCTGCCGTGCGGAGGAGTGCGGCTCACCAGAAGGCTTGAGGGTGACGCCGAGCTGTGCCAGGGTGGCCTCCACGGCCTTGCGGTGCTCCCCGATGATCTGGCTGTACAGCTTGTACAGCGGCTCCAGGATGAACTGCACGAACGAGCGCTCCCCACCGCCCTCTGGCGGGCGCCGCTTGAATGCTGCAACACACAGGGGCAGCGTTAGAGCACCAAAAACGTACGTATAGCAAACACACTGCCACAAACCAATCCCCAGATAGCAGGCTCCCTTGCTCCCGTCCAGAAAGCCCGCAAACCTCGTTGCCTACATGACCTGTGGCACCTTCCAAAGGTGACGAATGGTTTCTGAGGGCACACATGCTGCTTGCCCACAGATGCTGCACGGCAAAGGCTGCGACTCACAGCGCGTGGTGGGGTGGTAGTAGACGTCGCCCCACAGCTTGCTGGCAAATGCGTTCGTGTCCATGTCCACCCCGTGCAGTTCTGAATAAAGCGCCGCAAACGACTGCAGGCACCACAAGAGACACCAGGATGTCACGTGAGTGACACAGGCCGCCCTCAAAGGAACTGAGACGACTGCAACCGGTCATCTGCAGCATGGAACGATTTCAATACAATAGAACGTCAGGCACGCCAGGACAAGGTGTGCCCTCCTCCAGTGGCTGACCTGCCCTCCTGCGCTGCCCGCCTCACCTGCAGCGTGAAGGACCACCCCGCATTGGCTGCCGCAAACACGACGTTCCCTGCTGCGGGGTCCAGCTCGGGGGTGTCATCAGCGGTGCCGTAGGTGCGCAACAGCGCGTTGACCTCCTCCAGGGTGTGCCGCAGCTTGTGGTACGCGTCCGCGGGGGGCAGCTTCAGCTCCGTGATCAAGCGGTCCACCTTGTTGATCACCAGCACCACCGGCACCCGCTCCGCCAGCGCGTGCCGCACCGCGCGCTGCGTGTTCAACTGCACGCCGCAACCACGGGGTCATACGCCGCCCACGCTTTGCTGCAAAAAGACGTAGCAGGCGAAAGAGCGGAAGAAGCTACCGTAACACGTTGTGCAAAAACTTTCCACTGCAGAGAAAAGCCTGGCGCTCTGCAACCTGCCTCCTTCCACAACCCACGGCATCTCCAAAGGGGTAGAGAGGCCCTGGCAGCGTGAGTGGGTGGGTGCGTGCTGACCATGACTCCCTCGACAGCATCCACGACGAGCACGGCCCCATCAGCAAGGCGCAGCGCAGCCGTCATCTCGTCGGAGAAGTTGACGTGGCCGGGCGTGTCCATGGCGTTGACGAGGTAGCTCTTGCGCGCGCTCGTCTCCAGCACCAGCGACATGGGCACCGCCTTGAGGCTGATCCCGCGCTCCTGCTCGTCCACGCGCGTGTCTGTGTACCGCAGCGGGGCCTCAAAGTTCCTGCACAAGGGCCGCCGACGTCAGCGCAGGGACACTCGGGCACTGGATGATTGGAAGAGTGTCCCATTATCAGCACTTGCTTATGGTAGTCGTAAACCTCATGACTGATGGGAAGCCCTGCGGTGCCACTCTCTCTTCCATAGCCGTTTGACTTGAAATCTAGCTATTGCCAGAAAGAAATTTGCAAGAAAGTTGGAGAACCAAATGTACAGATCTGTTGTAAGTCTTCTCAACAAATCAGTCTTGACGCAACTACCAGAGCATAAACCGGAGAAAGAACAGTTCTTAACAGGTTATAGCGCAACTACTCCAGTGCAAAGGGGAGAACAACAGGCACGGCTGCGACAGAGTGCCGGAGGCAGCTGTGGCGGCCATGGGAGTGTCACCTATCGGTGTGGTGGATCTGGTGCGTCTGCTCCACCAGCATGTCCATCAGCGACGTCTTGCCATGGTGCAGGTGCCCCACGAGCGCCACGTTGCGGATCAGCGCGGGGTTGCCCGCCAGGCCCACCAGGAACCTGCACACGCAACCACCACCGCGCCATCGCTCAAAACACCGCCTCGCACATGGGCGTAGTTTCCGCCAATTTACAGAGAATTCAGGGGGAACATCCAACGCATGGATCATAGGCATCAGAGGCTGCCTGCCGCGCGTGCATGAGGGTGGTGCACGGCTCACTCGGTGGAGACGAGCGTGGGCGGCGCCTCGCGGTGCTTGACCTCCAGCTTGACCTCGCGCACCGGCTTGACGATGGGCACCTCCAGCGGCTGCGCGTCCTCCTCCATCACCAGCGTCTCCGTCTCCGGACCATACACCTGCAAACGAGCACGCGCCAGCATGGGGCCAGTCAGACCACAACCAACGGCCGGGAGAAGGTAACGCGCAGCAATATACAAGAAATTTGGCTCCGCTTGGCAAAATCGGTCTCCTAAGGCCCCTGACACTAGACGCGGTGCAGCAAACCTCAGGAGCGTCGTACCTCAATTGCGGTGGGGTAGTACTTCTTGTCCTCTGCTAAAACTACGGCGCCCTCCATATCGACTTCGTCATCTGCAACAAGCAAAGGAAAGGCAACATCAGAGGAAAGGCGACCCGATTACGGATTGGCGCAGGCACCAGCAAGCCCTGCAACGGATACAACGGGCACAGTTCTGCAGGAAGCAGGTACAGGTCTACTGAAAGTGCAGTTGCACATTGCCACCACTTCAAGGATAATGTATGGCGGACAAGAATTAAAAACCACGTTCAAGCAACCAGCCCTGATGGGTCAGGAACGTGAAGACATATAAATACACCAGGAATGCCATAGCAACTCCGAAAGGCAAGCACGGCGATGAACAAGCCTACTTCATCAAGAGCGCTTGACGGAACTAGGTGCACTTAGACATGCACCATTACCAAAAATAAGAGTGGAACCTGTCAGGCGCTGTTGCACTCGCCGGGATTGGTGCAGGGCGCATGGCGTGCATACCTTGGACCCTGTCACGGGCCCCGGCCTCTGCCTCGTCCATCCAGGCGTCCTCATCGTCCTCCACCACGCCATCGCGACCGCCCCGCCCATCCTGGGTCTCCTCATCCAGCTCTACCTGGTCCTCCTCATCATCCGACTCGATCTCCGGACCAATGTAGTTCCCGAATTCATCATACAAGGAATCGTCCATGCCAGCCAGCCAACAAGAACACAAAATACGTGATCAAAGAAGTATTGAGCAGCAACCTTCGAGAAACTACACCCTCCTATCTTGTCCTGCAACTTGCACGAGGCAGAGGTTGGCCACCTTTCGATTCGTCTCAATGTTGCCAATGGCGCCAATGCCAATGCCAAAGCCAGCGCCAGTGCCAATGGGCAAAGTCAACTGTCTATTCTGGGCAGGAGAGTGTGTCGACTTTCTGGACATACCCGTGGGCAATTTGCAAAACTACCGTAGGAATCAGGATGAAGAACCCTCAAGAGTCCTTGACAATTTCAAAGTGTGGCGAGTCGCGACAGTGTCAGTGTCAGAAGTTGGTTCAGGATAGCCAATGAGAGGGCTCAAAATTTGATCACATGGGTTCCACGTCGACCAGCCAGATGCACTGCACACTGCTCACAATGTGGGGACCCCGATTACGGGGCAAAAAGTTTCGCCGCGCCGTCCAGCCAAAATTTGACTTGCGGACGTGCCAAGGACCAGCTGCGGACGGTCCACGTGGATAGCACTGTTGACGTCATGCCAGCTTCGGAGTGGCGTTCCGTACGGTACGAAATCTGATACCCCTTGAACTTTAAACCGCCGATCGAAATGTCCGGTCACATCGCACGGTTCAAATCAGCTAAATAAAATCGGGGCGGCCGCGCGGCGGCCGCGCTACTCAGCTCGCCGCGCACCCCGCACTAGCCTACGTACTATTGGTACTATGCCTATACTACTTTGGGCATAGAGGCATAGACTGAGTCATACTTGTATCATCGAAGGTGCAAACGCTCAAAACCTCAATATTCTGAATATTATATATTCAAGGCTTCGCTTCCCTGCATCGTTTGAAAGAATCGACTTCCACCATGCACTGACCGGGCACTGACCATTTGACCATGGTCACACAATGGTAAGTGTTACTACCGACCATGTTCGAATTCTCGAATGCCTTACTATCTTTGAATCTTAGTGCCATTTAATGGTAGTTTTGCTACCATGAAATGATTCGACGGAAATGGGACCAAAGCCCTCTCACAAATTCCAAGTGACTGGCAAGACCCGGAATTCGTCGGCCAGACTGAGAGGTTGGTCTGGCACTATTTCTACGAGACTGCAGTATTGAAGCATTCAAACAACTTGTCAAGGGTTGTTACTAATCAGACTAATGCGGACTTGGAACATGTGAGAGTGGAGTTCCATGCACTTGGGTGGACAAGTCACAGTGGCTTGGTGCTAATTACCTGGGGGGCTCTGGGGCTAACTGGCACTGATCAACCTAGGCGATTTTGCCACGATTCTCTGATTTCCTTTCGGCATTTTGATTGCCAAAATGTATAAGCTGCCACTCGAACACATAGCCAGCCACACGGATCCAAACGTAGGTCCTATGCGGTTTGTCCAAAGCTTCTATGTGGCTTGTGAGGCGTCAAATGCTAAAAAGTGTCATTTTCGGGCCCAAATGGTGAAATTCCACAGCCAAAACGTCTTCAAATAAGGCGCTGAAAGTTTGTGTGGGTCCGGGCCATCGTAGGGACTCATTTTGGTTGCATCGTTTACAGGGTCATGCCCAACGTCAAGCGTTGGCGGTCAAAATTTAGGGTTTTGACGTCTTCAAAGACGCACCCACAAAGCACACGCTCTAGCAGTCATTTAGTTCGGGTTTCGACCAAACGATGCGACCAGAAACCAAGTTAAGGCCCAAACGAGGGCAGCCCCGAAGAAATCCCAGTCAAATCTCAAAAATGGGCTGTGGAAATGGGGTTCAAAAACAGCAGATATGGGCTTATAGACACGCCGGAAGTCTCACTCGACCGACTCGCACGCGCGACTCGGGCAAATCCGTACGGCGTACGTCAGCAGCCAAAATTCCCGAACTTCTTGGAAAATGCCATTCGGACGCCGAAAAACTTAGCCCATAATCGGGGTCCCCACACAATGCACATGACTGTTGACAGGGCAAGCGTGCAAGCCTGATGCCAGTGATGGAAGGAAGCGTCAGGCTCTGCCGCTGCGCTGCGCCTGCACCACCATGCCAAAAATTGCTCAAGGAACACATGCGCGTTCAACCGCCAGTTCTCACCTGATTCTCCCTGCCAATGTATGACCATCCTAAATCAATATCTACAGAATTTAGCTTCCTGAGATCGTTGAACACACAAGGCAGGCCTGCCTGGGCATCTCTGCTGACGACAAGCAAGTGGTGCACGCGGGGGCAATGGGCGCTGCCAGCAGCATGTGGAGGCCTTGTGTTTTGAGGGTTTGATGCTGGATGGGCGAGGATCTAATTGAGGAGGACAGCTTCGTAGATTTAGAAGCCGGCCCGGCGGCGCACCACTTACGGTGGGGTCACCACTATCTAGAGCCTCTTTCCATGTCGTCCACACCCAAAACAGAGCCTGTGCTGTGGCGCTCCTGGGAGAAGGGCCGCAGGAGCAGCACCGGCAGCCAGCGGGGCGACAGCAGCCCGGGGCCCAGGTGAGGCAGCCCCACAGCCGCAATGGGTGACAATTAGCTTTCCATGTCCTGACTTTACTGCTAGAAGCAATTTGTTGAGCTGCTCTTCTTGGGACATGTCTTCTCTTTGTGAAGGGTGTCATCAAAGGTGTCACCTTGACGCCGTGCCAGGACCCATGTTGGCAGCCAATCCATGCAGCTGCACTCTGCCATCATCGCAGTAGGCAGCAGCTATGGCACCGTCAGACAGGCCCTGCTGAACCAGCTGAGCTGCTAACCAGTGCCACGTTGCTCTCCCTCCCTCTCTTAGGCCGGACTGCACATTGAGCAGCTCCTTACCCCCCCTCCTCCTGTTCTGGTGTCCAGGCGCTCATTGGATGGCTCGCCGGAGGGCCCCCCCGGCCCAGGCTCCCTGGGTGCGTACTTGCGGCGCAGCCTGGCGGCCCTCTTTTTGGGCAGCTGGTTCAACGTGCTGCTGCCGTTCCTCCCCGCGGCCATGGTGGCGGCGCACCTGCAGCTGGGCCACGCCACCGTGTTCACTCTGACGTGCCTCGCGCTGGCGCCCCTCTCGGAGCGGCTGGGCTACATCACGGAGCAGCTGGCGCTGGTGACCAACCCCACGCTGGGCGGCCTGCTGAACGCCACCTTCAGCAACGCGCCCGAGCTCATCCTCTCCCTCTTTGCGCTCAAGGCCGGCGTCTTCCGCGTCGTGCAGCTCACCCTCCTCGGCTCCATCCTGGGTCAGCGCCGCACCCTCACACTCCGAGATTCCTGTTCAAGTCCCCGGTTCGATTTACGGTTGGCCTCTGCATTTGAGAGCTGGCATGCGGACAGCCTCTGAACAGGGACAGTGCCTTGCAGGGGCAACCGCTGTTTGCCACCCCTGTTGCTGAAGCTTTCTGGCCCTTGGGGTTGCGTGCAGGTAATATTTTGTTGGTGGTAGGGTGCGCCTTTCTGGCGGGGGGCGCGCGGCACCAGCTGCAGAGCTTCAACAAGATCGCCGCCACCACCAACGCAGGTCAGCCACCCGACGCACCACCCGGGCCCCCCTGGCCACGCGGCTTGCAAGTGGGCCAGGAATAGCCTCTCCATTCACCAGCTCTTCAGTTGTCGCAGGGGGCTCAGTTCTAATAGCTGGGGATTGCCTTCGCAGTTCGTCGTTGTCTTGCTTTCAAGCCTTCGCCTGGTCTACTGCGGTGTCTAGCGGTGGTCTCACCCTAGTATGAGGTATCCTTTGTTGGGGGATTGGAGCATTCTAGCCATCCGTGCCAGCCATCAGACGGCCCAGGTTCTACCCTTATCTGACGCAATACCGTTTGTCCTGATCGTTTCGCGTTATGCAGTCGACTTTGCCAAAATGTACATCGGTCTCCCCACCCTTTGGCCCCTGCTTCGCATTCATTGCCGCGTTGCTGCGCGCCTCCCGTTGCAGGGCTGCTGCTGATGGCGGTGATGTCCATCTTGTTCCCGACCATCCTGGTGGCGCAGCACACCGAGATCCGCGCGGACGCCAGCCTGGCGCTGTCGCGCACCACGGCCGTGCTCATGCTGCTGGCCTACACGGCCTACATCCTGTTCCAGCTCGTCACGCACCGAAGCCTCTTTGACGCCCCCACGCCGCCCCCCGCCACGCTGGCGGGCCTGGAGACGGGGGCGAGCGGTGATGAGGACGGCGAGGAGGAGGAGGAGGTGGTGCTCGGCTTCTGGGGGGGCCTTGTGTGGCTGGCGCTCGTGACGGCCGCCATCAGCAGCCTCTCCGACTATCTCGTGGCCGCCGTGGAGGGCGCCGCCGTGCAATGGGGCGTGCCGCTCGCGTTCCTGAGCGTGATCGTCATCCCGATTGCCAACAACGTGACGGAGCACGCGGCGGCGGTCGTGTTTGCGGTGCGCAACAAGGTGGACATCAGCCTGGGCATCGCGCTCGGGTCGTCGACGCAGATCGCCATGTTCGTGCTGCCCCTCGTGGTCCTCGTCGGCTGGGGCCAGGGCGCGCCCCTCACGCTCGACTTCCGGGTCTTTGCCACCGCCGTGCTCTTCTCGGCCACGCTCGTCGTTGCCTACCTCCTCCAGGTGACCCCCGCATGCTGCACATCCTCAACTGACCGCCTGGTCGGCCGCGTCCGCCTTGCATTGGCAGCCGCCTCCATTCTGCTTGCCCAGCTGTTCCTTGCCGTACTCGCCCTGGGAGTATCTGCAAGACCACTTTGGTTATCACCGCACCGAGTTTGCCATCGCATGCCTCCTCTAAGCGTGTGTCTCTTGCTTGGTGCGCTTGGCTGCGCCATGACGTGGGCGGTGTGCGTGCAGGACGGCGAGAGCAACTGGCTCAAGGGGCTCATGCTGGTGACCATGTACGTCGTGGTCGCCGCCGGCTTCTTCCTGCACAAGGACGCGCGCCTCCCGCACCTCGCCACGCCCCAGCTGCATATCGACCTTTAATCGCAACCAGGCAGCGTCATCCGGATGACATTGCGCAGATTACCCTCACGAGAGGGGACGAGCAGGTTGCATGAGTGTGTTGTTGCGTAACGAACCTTTGACTTGCAGAAAAACAAGGTATCCATAGCGGGCAGCTTTGTTCTGGGAGCAGGTATTGCTAGAACGGGACTTCCGTGAGAGGTTGTGACCGTTTCGGACGGCTCACTAAGAAAGCTTTTGCAATCCCCGGATGGGATCGTCTTTGATTAGGTGGTGTCACCGTCAGCTTTCTCAGGTTAAGAGCTTATGCATAGATGAGATAGGTGTACGTGGTTTGGTACAGGGATGGTATAGCAAGAACGTGCAATTTGCACCCACAAGATTACAACATATGCTTCATGACATGGGCTGAATGTTGGCGCATATATCCGTCACTCAGTGCCCATGAGACGTTTCACTACCTGCATAGCGATATACTTGATCGGAGTACATATACAACAAAGTGCATGTCAAATGGCGCATGACGTACTAGGAAGTATACAACCTAACATGATGTATGTACACGTCCATTCGATCGACCTTTGGCATGCGCCAGGCCAGGTCCACGTGGCGCCCACGCGTGCACTCATTCTCTGAAAAGTGGTCGCATCATGTACATGACCCATTCCTTTGGCCGAAAGCGCAATCCTTGCTGCGACCGCCGCAGCCAGAATCAAGCGCAGCCGGCATCAAAATTCGTATAGCCTGATCCAAGATTGACTCATCTGGCACGTTTAGGCAAGCCTGACCAGTGAATCTGTAGACCAAAAAACAAAATCAAAAATTGACGCGGCAGCTTGCATGAACTGGCTCGTGGTAGATCGGCGTGATGCGCCTAACATACCTCAGACTCTGTTTTCTTAAGAGCGTGCCTCGCTTGCGGACGAACGGCTTTGAAAAAATGTGACTTCCCATGAACTTAATTTAAATCACCTTAATCGAGCAGAGCCCCGGCCTTATCGTTGGCCAGCTTCCGCCCTCATGCCACTGCGAACGAGTTCCAGGCTCCCTCGACAAACTTCGAAACTTCTTGGCTCCTTTGAACCAGCGCTTGTCCCCGGCCTGCGCCTTGAGGATGTAAAGCTTCCCGTCCGACACGGTCGCGTTGATCAGCTGGTGCTTGCCGCCCTCGTCGCCATCCGCTGTCGTGGTGAGCACCTGCAAAACACGAGGCGAGGACTCAGGGCCGGCGGAGAGAGCAGAGGCGTTCGACACTTTGCAGTCAATGACAAAGCCTAAGCCGTAAACCTCAGACAACCCCACTGCAGGCAAACGGGCCTTCAGAAGATGGGCTCAGCACGGAGGAGGCCATTGGAACGGACTCGGACAGGGAGGGCAGGCCGGCCAGAAAGCCGGGGCAAACGAGCAAGTGCGAGATCTTCTCACTTCACTTTTTCTAAGTTTTTGGCATGCCATTTTCTTTGCTGCCCAGTGTGCGCCCGTGTGCGCGCGAGCGTACGCGTTACTGAAAATGGGTCGTCCAATGCCGCAGTACGACGTCGCAAATTTCTTGGCGATCGCGTCCCACCAATTCTTACCCGTTCGCCCGCTTCATCACATTGCGCCATACCTTTGGCATACGGTAGCTTTTGGCATTCCGGTGCTTACCTTGGGCAGCTGAGCCTTGTGATTTGCAGGAGTGAGGGCGGGATATCCTTTGAAGTTTGAATTGTTCTTCAAGCAGTTCTTGTCCCGCTATTAGTTCAAGGCGTCACTGGGCTCCTGTTGCAAGGATTGGGGGATAGAAAGCATGCATCGTTCGTAGCGCCTCCTGCTATCATGCCGTCAGAAAACATATGTGGATGTTTTCTGGCAGGCTTCCAAACTCCGGTGTTTGCGCCCCTAGTTCTGAGAATTTTCCCTTTTCAAACAGTTGATCTAAAGTGGGGTTTCTTGAAAGCTGCCTGTTAGGGTATCGGAACGGCTGCTGGTTCAAAAATGGACTCAGTGCTCCAGGTTGGTGTAAGGAGCTAGACAGAGTGCTTGCACCCTGAGCCCTGAGGATGGCAAGCGCGAGCAAGGCTGCGCCAGCAGCGGGCGCTTCGTCCTACTCCAAAGACTGTGACCTGCCTTGGGTAGAGAAGTACCGGCCACACAAGATCAGCGAAATCGTGGGCAACCAGGATGCGGTTTCGCGCCTCCAAGTTATTGCGCAGGATGGCAACATGCCCAACCTCATCTTTGCTGTATCCTCCGCATGCGGCTCAAGACTGTCGGGCATTGTGACCACCTTATGTACTATTTTGATCGGTCCTGATCTTCAATGTGGAGTAGATTCTCTGTGCTGCCTGTCTTAATTGCAAGAGCTTTGTTGAGCCAAAGGAACGTTCTTGCTGGCGTTCTGTCTATGTTTCCATGGATTCTTGTCCGAGTAGAATTTGATACCAATACTAGCGGGAAATCAGCGCCTATCTTTGACGCAATACAATCAGGGGCCCCCAGGGACGGGCAAAACGACCAGCATACTTGCGCTTGCTCACGAGCTGTTGGGGCCCAGTTACAAGGAAGCTGTTCTGGAACTCAATGCTTCAGATGACAGGTACGCGCGACGAGAAGGAAGGTTGCCTTGAATCGTATTATTTGTTAGAGCTCCTCGAGAAAAGATGCAGTTCTTTGGGGCCTTGGTGCAGTGCGCTCCCTGTCATTTGCTTGAGGCTGACAGTCAAGACACCTGATAATTGCTACTTGCTTGCTACAATGTACCTTCTTCCTGCCAAAAACCGGATCGCTTCTGTCCGTCAAGGGTGAATGCAGCTTCATGCCCGCTATGTCTCATCCGAAAGTGTGCGGCCTCCTCTGAGTAGTGGCACGGGATCCCTATGCCGATTGAGGTGGGAGCGGGCCTTCATCTCAACACAATGGCTTTGATTCAGTTGAGTTCCATCAGTCGTTTGCCATCAGGTTTTTGACGCCGTTCAGAAATTTGTACCCTCTATCTCATTGTGTAGAGGCATCGACGTCGTGCGAAACAAGATCAAGATGTTTGCTCAGAAGAAGGTGACGCTTCCCCCGGGTCGGCATAAGATCATCCTGCTAGATGAGGCTGACAGGTGAGGAGCGTATCATAGGACTGAAAATTACGGTTTGCGCGGTAGTGGGCACAATTCTGGCGGTGTAAATCGATCATGAGTGGTCCTGCCCCGTCCAGAAGGCGCCATGTGGCAGAAACAATGCGCTTTTGGACATGTCTCATCTCTGTGAGAAGGTGGTCCAAAGGGTGTGTTGACGTTGGATTCCAATCATTATATGCCAGCACTTCGGACAAAACAATGGCCACAAGCAGATAAGATTGGACGTTATCAACGGGCACGCCTGCTAGCAGCATTTGCGACTGCAGCACCAAGTTTTCCTTGCCCACGTTGCTTCGAAGTGACAAAGATTCGAAAGTAGCTCGACGACGTGCTCCTCAGCATGACATTCTGGGCCAACAGCCCCTTGGACAGACGAGAAAAGTCAAGATCTCGTGCCAACGGTTCACTGACCGCTGCGGTGAACATATTCTTCCACTACCATTGCGTTGCGCCATTTGTCAATGTGATATATCATTCGATTGACGTTACTCCCCCCTGGTGCAGCATGACTGCAGGCGCGCAGCAGGCGCTGCGGCGTACAATGGAGATCTACAGCAACACGACGCGCTTTGCGCTGGCGTGCAACCTGAGCACCAAGATCATCGAGCCCATCCAGAGCCGCTGCGCGATCGTGCGCTTCTCGCGCCTCTCCGACATCGAGATACTGGCGCGCCTCACGGCCGTTGTGCAGGCCGAGCAGGTGGGCACATGCAGATTGTCTGGCCCCTCTGATTTTGAAGTTCGCGAGAACTTGTAGAACGTAGCTCACACACCGTCCTCAAGGACCTGGACGTCCTTTTCGAGCATTTCTCTTCAAGCGTCCTGGTAAACTGTCGTTTGCTGACCATCCCCGATTGTACGGAAAGTGGGGGAACGTCCAGTGTTGAGCCAAGGTGGTTTGGAAGAACTCGGAGAGACCTGATGAATGGCCTGGGAGCAGCTGGAGGCGCTAGCTTCGACGTCCTCCCAGATCCAGACTTGACAGCGTCCACACTCAACACAGATTTGTCGTCATTCTTAGAATGGTTTCTACTACAAGAGTTCAGCTTTTCCTAGATCACCTCGCTGCACCCCTCGGTTGAATCCCATTCCCCCCCCCCTATCGCGTTTAGGACACTTTCATTCCCGTCGCGCCGTATACCTCGTCCGTCCAAGAATCTTGAGGCCGTCGTGTCGTAGTTACACCAGACCTCTAACGCACATTTCGGATCTCATGCGAATCGATGTTGCTGCTCTCCTCTCCCCTTCTGACAGGTCTTGTCCTTCCCAAAAGCTTCAGAGCTGTTGTCCCCATGCTCGCCAGAGCTAGGAATCCCTATGACGCACACTTCAGATCACCTGCGGATGGCAATCGCCGCTCTATTTCCCCTCCCGTCAAATTTCGTCCTTTTCCGAAAGCCTCAATGGCGCCACGTCAGACCCAGAAATTACCCAGCAACCCACCCGCAGATGAACAGCACTGTTCGCCGTCCCCCTCCCTCCGCTAGGGCTCGCCGATTTTGATGACGCACATCTTCGAAATCCGCGCAAATCAAGATTACTGCTCTTTCTCCTCCTCCGGCAGGTGTCGTCCGTCCCCGAGGGCCTCGAGGCCCTCGTGTTCACCGCCGACGGCGACATGCGGCAGGCGCTGAACAACCTGCAGGCGACGTTCAGCGGGTTTGGGTTAATCACCCAGGAGAACGTGTTCCGCGTGTGCGACCAGCCGCACCCGCTGATGGTGAGCAACATCGTGCGGCACTGCCTGGGGGGCAACATCGACGGCGCGCACCAGGGCATGAAGGAGCTGTACGACCTGGGCTACTCCGCGACGGACATCATCACGACGCTCTTCCGGGTGGTCAAGAACTACGACATGCCCGAGTTCCTCAAACTCGAGTACATCCGGGTACGCTTTTCAGATATTCCTATACGAGTCGTTTTGTTTTGAGTTCCGATCATTTCGACTTTCTTCTCGTATCGTTTCGAACGTTTGTTTCGCATGTGAATGGAGGAGTTTGATGATTTCGAAGTTTGGGGTTTCGGGTACGGACGTCCATATAAGCTGGTTCGATTGGACACGAAGTACGAGATGCGGAAGTCTCGCGATCTGGAGATATCCGGGGATATTTGCAACGATGGTTTTCGAGACTGTGGTAGCTTGTGAAAACGGGGTTGGAAGTTTTGAGTGAGCGCCGAACTCTGTAGAAGGCTGGTTCCTCACTGACGAAAGCACACGATACCCGAGTCTTTCGAGTTCGAGACATTCAGAAAGATTCCGTCATCCGCGGCAACATAGAGATGAAGTACTGGCAAACCGTTTCACGTCTTGTATTCCGGATTATTGGTATTGATCATCTGGAACGAACTCTCGTAGGGTTGTGGTTTGCATGCTCAAATCCTGGTAGGTAATTCAGAAATGCTGGTTTCCTCCGATATTGGGCATGCAAATATCACAATCCATGTCTCTTTACCGAAGCTTTATTGCTCAGTGAGGGATTCGGAAAGTGCAGTTGGCGACCCTGTGAAGCAGGCATGGCCTTAGATGAATATTTTCTTATCTCCGTTACTGCCTTCTGTATAAAACGCTACGGTTGCTTGATGTTTTAGAACTGATCAGATGCAGGAACAGAGTGAGTGTTTAATCCGGGTTTTGCGTCGAACAAGCAACTACAGCAGAACAGCCTGTTGGAACACGTCTGAGTGTTGCATTCTTAGCAAAGTTAACAGTTGCGTAAGTAGATCTGATTTTGGTCACTCACTTGACTGCCTCCTGGAGAACGACCATTTTGCGTTCATGGATGCAGGCAACTCTTGCTTCTTTTGTTGGTCCTCCTATTGCCCGAGGAGATGGTCAGATGTCAAAGCGTGACCTACACTTGAATTGTAGACCATTTTCGGAGGACCGTCCCAAGCTCGCCTTACGAAGAGTCTCTCTCGTACCAGACTCAAGTTGGATTGCAGTCAGATTGATCTCCTTTGATCCTTGCAGGAGGTTGGCTTCGCACACATGCGTATCAGTGACGGGGTGGTCTCCCTTCTCCAACTGTCTGGCTTGTTAGCAAAACTCTGCCTAGTAAAAGAAAGGGCAAAGGCTTAGTCGGTGTCAATCGGTCACGCTACCTTGTCGTGCGGAGTCAGCCTTTCTAGCTCTTCAGCATACTCGCGTCGCCATCGAGTGCGGCTGCTCGAGGCTTCCAAGAACATCTGACAGCTTGATCAGCGTCTTTGCATTTGTCAATCACGAACGGCATGTGCTGCACGCTCGAAACATTTGTCGCTAAGGTAATTTCTCTGCATAGTTGTCACGCTAGACCATTAGGGCAGTGCTTGACAGTCCTTGCAACAAGGTCACTTTCATGCAACACCAACCTGTTGCACATGGAAGCGCTTTACCTACACATTCCGTCAACGTGCATCCAAGCGGCACACAATCTTTCATCCCTCATTCTTTCCATGTGCAAAAAGCGGCAAGCATGGATAGGCAAGCAATATCGCAATGATTATCATTGAGCAAACCAGCGAGCTACACGCCTTTATTCCTCGTACGATTGTCGAAAGATGAAGTTCGGAGCTGGAAATTGTGGCAAAAAACGCCGTCTTATGGGAAACATAAATGGAGACATTGGCCGGGTTGGAACTGGAATCTGCAAAGAGATTTGTCGATTTTTTTCATGGGATCACTAATGAGTCATTATTATGGACAAAGAAACGTAGTGCAAGAAACGCTGAATAAATTGTTTTTGCTCCCTGCATTAAATTCTTAAATAGGCTTTCACGCAAGCTTTTCTGGTATAGACTCAGCTCCCTTTAGCAACCGCAATTGTGGATAAAGCACGCCGGCCTCATCCCGATGCAGTGACAACATGATGCGCATGACACGGGGGGCACTACTATTGCTTTGCGAAATTTGATTCATACACGTGATTACATCCTTCATTCGATCCTTTCTGTGATTCTGCATTGTGAAGCTGCAGCCTGGATTGTAAGCAACGGATGGTTTTACGAACTTGGACCGTGAGGACCGATATGATGGTCTCTTTTCGTAACGCCGTAGCCAGTGCGGCCTATTACGCTTCTCATGGCATACATGATTGTTGTGTTTGAATTCGATCCCCGGTATTTTCCAACACTAAAGCCCCCCCGCTCCCTCCTGTGGAGATCTTAGCGTCGTTGCACGAAAGTGGACGATAGTTTCTGCTTGTCTATCAATTTACAATCCCACCAGACGGACGGTGCATGAGTTGCAACTTGAACTTATGTTGGCGTCCAATCATCGATGGCATGCCCCCACGGACCCATCAGGGTCCCGTTCTTGTTCTAGAACTTGTGCCAAGTAGAAGTTGGAGCAGGGTTTCCCATGGACTTTCGTCCCGGCCCGGCACCCCCTCGGTCGTACCGGCTGGCTGGCCGGCTGCGCCGGCCGGCCACCTTTGCCCATGATGCAAGCCTGGCGGCATCATGACGGCCGGAGGGTGACGGCCGGAGGGTGACGGCCGGAGAGCTCCCGGGGGACCCCCCGCGCGCGCTGGGCCCTTTTAACCAGGTGGTTGGGTCTCCCCGGGGTTCAAGCCACCTTTCGACCACAAAGTTTAGGGGTTGCCTTGTCGTGCCTAGCTGTATCCTCACATTGCCGTACAAAGCTGCAGGTGTTCTCGATCCTTTTCGATGTTTTTAGAATCTAGACTCTTGGTCGAGCGGTTGAGATGATTGTTAAGCGACCAGTCTTGGACCCGGGGAGACTCACCGGACGGGGCAAGTCCAGAGTGGTCCGGGGCTGGCACCTACCTATTAGGCTCTGGCTGGCAGGGTCCTGGCAGAGCCGGCTGCAGGGCCGGCCCACAGCCGGCAGGGTGCCTTCGGCACCGGCCGGGTTGGCAAATCTACCGGCCAGGTCCGCCCCAGCGTGCCGGCTGTGGGAAACCCTGAGTTGGAGTACCCAGCCGAATTTGGCTCCGCATTCACTGACAGTGATAATTGAGTCCCATGCCATGCATGCGCATGAGGTTTGCCGAGTGAACTTTGAGATGGCGCATAGAAACAGCTGACAGTGATGGTCCCCACCTTCTGGTGAGGAGGCAGGAAGCCCTGTCGATTTGAGAAGCCCCAGGTGAAGGCAGGGCCACTCTCGTATCCAATGCAGCTGCTATTGGCTGGTCCTCAGTCAATGCTGACAACTCTCAAGAGGTTCACTGCAAACTCGTGTGCTCGACTCACGCAGCCAAACCAGCAAGGTCGTAACCAAGCACTTCATGCGGGGTTCCTTGTGAAGCAGCTCCACAGTCTCAAAGAGAGGTTCTTTGGACTCACTGGAAAGGGACGCCAGTTTTCTACTTCAGCTCGTCTAAACCTTGGGAAAGCTCTAATCCTTGAAACTACAGCTGTCATTGCTTCCCATCACAGTGTTGCATCTGCCCTCAAAAAGGAATCAGCGTCTATCCCCAATACGCTGGAGAGCATGGCCCAACCATTGGTGCTGTCTGCAAAGACGGAAGAAGAAGAGAGTGCCGCTTATCAGCTGATCAGCCAGGTATGGTGATGTCCTCATCAAGATTTCATGTGCACCATGACCCTCATCAGCAGTGGCTGCTTGTGCCCCCACTTTGACCACACCCGAGCTTTCTTCCTCAAGTTTTGCATAGGAGATGCCCAAAGGCTGTCCTTCCCCATGTGAGAAGTTCAGTCTATTGATTTACAGCTTCTTTCGGGTTCACTAATGGACAAAGACAGACGTCCACCCTCTGTCCTTCAAGCATCGACACATCTCTGTTTTATGTCGAAAGGTATGCGTGTGATGCAACCGCCATCCCGCTTTTCCCCCCCGCAGAATGCCCTCAGTTTGCCCGAGGGCGTGGTTCTGGAGGGCATGTACCTGGACCACAAAGGAGGGGCAGCGCAACCAGAGGTGACCCACACAGGCGGCATTGCTCTGCAGTCCTTCAATCCAGAGGGGTACTTGCGGCATCTGAAGGCGCCAACATTTGGACGCGTCATCCTGACAGCGCATCGCCTCCCGTCAACACACAGCCTGCTATCTCAGTAAGTGAACCTCAGTAAGTGACTCGAAGCATCGCACCAATAAACCCTTTTCATGCTGTAAAATACTAGTTACAATGCTGAGGATTCTCTATGGGCGCTACGAACGAATTCCACATGCTTTTGTAACTTGGAGAAGCCCATGCAGAGAGTTCAACCTCTGCAAATTGACTGTGAATCAGCATGGCTCTTTCAACTTTCCGTTTGATAATCCAGGTCGTAGTGATCCCATTCTGTCGCTTGAAGAGTTGCAATAGTCAGTCTTCTTGCTGAGAATCCGATGGCGGTCTGTTCATAGGGTACTTTCCTGGTTCGAAAACAACAGTCCTATTGAGTGTGCCTATGCGAAGCAGAGCAACTTCCTGAGCACATGAAGTTACAGCAGAGGCAAAACCTTGCGCGCAGGAACTTCCAGTCTGTCCCGGAGGGCACTGTCTGTGTTGCTGACATCCAAACACAAGGCAAAGGTGACCTTAGCAGTGCTAGTCGATCATACCTTCTTGCTTCAGTTGTTCCTGAAATCTGTTTGAAAACAAGATTGTATGCTTCGCATCCATCAGGAGTACCTCATGAGGAGAGTCTATCAACATCGAAGTTGCTCACTGCTTGAAAAGGGCCGTCTTATGTCGACCTCAATCTACTTCAGCCGCAGAATTTCTTTCCCTTGGAATTCCAGAGATCAGCTTACGCGTCACATGTTCGCAAACATCCAAGTTGGCCGGTCTGCAGGCAGTCCCTAGTTTCCTGATCGTTTCTGCTGTGCATGCCATCTCTTGCTTCCCCCGACTGCCCGGGCATATCGCCCTTTACAAGAGCCAAGCAAACCCGAGGAGTGGAGGGGAAAAAGGAGGGCTGACTTCGCTACCAGAGTTCGATTCTTGTTGGCCTGGCTGGAGCGTTGACCCCGAGCCTGTCCCGTGCAGGGCGCGCGGGCAACAGCTGGGAGTCCCCCCCGGGCTGCCTCATGTTCTCGTTCACTCTCCTCCACGGGGATGGCCGCACCCTGCCCCACCTGCAGTACATCGCCAGCCTCGCGGTGGCCCAGGGGGTGCAGAGACTAGCCGATGCACACTACCAGGTGAGCGGCGCGCACCGACTGCTCTTTGAGAAATTGGGGGACCGTTTCCTGCTCGCGCTCTACACCACTTTGGAGACTCTGCCCACTTGGGAATCTGCCGGAAGAGTCATTGCCAAGGAGAGGAGTCAACCCCACTTCCAGAGAAGTCGACCAGTCGACTCCGATCGGTCGCTAGATTTGCTGATTCGAGTTCGAATGCGTTCTCGCATCGGTTAGTGTAAAGGAGTGGAGAAGGGACCTCTCTTGAAAGCTGGCCCGAAGCGTCAGGATTCCGCCCGTAGGCTTGGTAAGCCTCCAAGGAGCGCTCGGGAGGCACTCTGACGTCGCTTCTCGTACTAGGAAGTCGACACTCGTCGCTTCGAAAGCCCCCAGGCAATCGAAGGCCTCGAGCCATCTTCTTTGCACGATTGTGACGGCCTTCGTTTTGGCAGGCAGTGGACCTCGGGGTGCGGATCAAGTGGCCCAACGACCTGTACGCGCGCAAGCAGAAGATCGGCGGCGTCCTCTGCACCTCGTCCTCCATGGGAACAACCTTTAAAGTCACTGTGGGTGAGGAGCGCAGCGGCCAGTGGGGGAGTAGTCAACATTGGACTTTTTCCTCGCACTTGGCATCATTCGTGGCGGTGCTAATTGTCAATACGTCATCGTCGAAAGCGGGACTTGCTGTGATGAACTTTAGGAGGACGCCTAAATGGAAAAGAAGTATTTCGCGAGTGTCTTTGCGATCCAGCTGTCTGGGGAGCTAAAGTCTGACGAATTCCGAGCCAGTGCACTCGCCAAAATTCACTCAGCTCGACTTTCTCCGGGCAGTAGTCTGTCCAGTTTTGCAAGTCCGTTCCTACTGAAGATCTGGTCGTCACACTCTGCACAAACTTGCCAAGGTATTGTCCTGAGAAGGAAGACACGTTTTGACTTTTAGAGGAGACAGAAGTCAAAAGCAAGAATGCGAGGCAACCGGGAAGGGGCACCTGCGACTCGAAACCGAACACAACAGGACTCCCTTCCCACTGCGCAGGCATTGGGTTGAACGTGTTCAACCGGGAGCCCACGACGTGTCTCCAAGCGATCCTGGACGACTTGCGGCCGGGGGCAGCGCCCCTGGTCAAGGAGGAGCTGCTGGCAGCAGTCATGAACCGCTTCGAAGAGCTCCACACCACCTTCATGTACGCAGGTGAGACGCCACGGGGCGTGATGCCAGCTCGTGCATTTAGAGAGGGCGGCCCCTCACGTGGTTCACCGGCCGACACGCACTTCGGAACCTGCGACTGGTGGTCGCTGCGATGGATTTACCACGTGCCTTTAAGAACGACCGTCGAACCGGAGCCTTCGCTTCTCAGTCTTCAAACCGTGTCTGTATGAGCTTCGCCGGTGCTTCTTGTACGGTACATAAGCGCCGTGTCGTACCGTGCGCCAAGGACGCCGGAGTCCACCCGCTTCCCCACGTCTTGGCGTATGAAGCGAAGTCTTTCTTCGAGCAACGTGTCACCTGAGGGTTGCAACTCTCTTTCGGCTTTTGAATGTCACAAGACCTAGATGCAGTCATTACTCAAGTTCGCCTTTGCACAGAGAACGCACTGTTTCCGTTCCGGTACTCCGGTCATAGTTGAAGTGATTGATGATCGTGCATTCTTCCCCTGACCTCTCAATGTGCAAAGTACCGCTCACAGCTGATGGTGGCTATTCCTCGGCCCGGCCAGCTGTGTTGGTGTGTGCGTCTCGCAAGGTCAGGAAAAGTCGAGCGCCGACGAAGTTGCATAGCAGCGCATGCCGGACGGTTCGTGCTGAAAAGACCTGACACGATGACCTGTCGTCCAGGTTTCCGAGGAGTCGAGTACAACTACCTTAACCTCTGGCTTCACAGGTGCGATCACTCACGCGTTTACTCCATGTCCATTGCCAAATCGGTGACCCTTTCCCGCATTCCCCGGTTGCCGTCCCTCTCTTCGTAGTTTGAATGCCGTTCAAGCTTTGGTGTTCAGAGACTTCCAGGGAAGAAGCCCACGGGCATACATCTGAGGTCTCGTACTTGTCGAACTCAGTTCTGGCTGCATTTCTGCGCCAGCCGACTCGTCATCCGGAAGATCGCAATCAAGATATTTTGTTACTCGTCTAGTGAGCGTACGTCGTGCCTAAAACTCGTCTTGACAAATGGACGGCAAAACCCTTTTCCGTGAGAACCAGCATCGACAACACGGGTGGAGAAAATCTCAGGCCGCTTGCGAAGACACTTGCGAAGACACATGAGAACGTCATCCTCAAATTGCGCCGATCGCGACATGCTGAAAGTGCTGTCTCTCTTTCTCAGCGGGCAAAAAGTGGTTATAAAGGAGGGTGGCGAAAACGGGGAACCAGCGACCGAAACGCCGGTGACAATAAAGGTGGGCTGCCCATCGCGACGCCTCCGGTAACTGTGCTGGTCTCTAGTCGCCTGTTTTGCGGAATCCGCGTCCGCAGGAGTGGTTGCATCTAATGAGAGGCCCGAAAGGAAGCGGACTTCTCCGCCGGAATCTTGCTGGATCAAGCAAGAAGGGGTGTAGTTCGCCACTGGTAGTTCCGGATGCAGAGGTTCTGCGACGTCACCCTCTTGTACAAGAAGGCCAGATGCAGGATACAGGTAGTGGTGTGCTCCGACCCGGGTGGGCAACTGGACAAGCCTTCACGACACAACCGCCGTGCTCTCACACCGCCGCTAGCCAGGTCTGAGTCAAGATCCTGCTTGACTCTCTTCTGCAGGGCCTTTCTTACAACGGCTTTCTCTTGGCGTCTGACGAGAAGGGCGAACAGTACGAGCTTAGCCCGGACGGGAACAGGTGCGCGCGCGTCTGTCCTACCCCCTTTTGTCCTCGTGTTCCCTTTTTGTCCTCTTTTTAGCGAGGCCGTGTGGGACTCTAGAATAGGTCGGCGACTAAAAAGCGGGGACTCTTCATTCGTCACCTCCTGCGGACTAACACGATTCCGATTGGGCGATATCGCTGCCGTGTGAAAGCCGGGCACGGCTTGCTGAACGCCCTTGGCATAGAACGCCTGTACTTCGTGGGGCCTTGTCAATGAAGCTGACTGTTGATGACTAATGAGAGGTCGTATGTTTGTCCTTTTCCATTGGGGGGCCTTGTTTCTGGAGAGGTTGTTTACAACGCCAAGCTTCTCTCCATTCTTTCACGTAACGATTGCTGTCTTTTGCAGTTTGGACTTTTTCAACGGCCTCATCAAACGGAAAATTCTTTCAGCCGCTGGGTGAATGGAGTCGGCACTGCACGGGTGCCATGTCTCAGCTCCAACCGACAGGCGGGAAAGCCCCAATGCGCCAGCATTGTAGGGACGGCGCAAGAGATTCCCAACAGAGCGGACCTTTGGAGACTTCAGTTCTAGAAGAGCACGCAATTGTCTCGAGAGCAGTTGTCTCAAGAGCATGTTTGATACCAGTCAGAATACATAGCAGTCGTGACACGCCCGGGTAAATCCGTGCATCTCTTTCAGTCAGCACGGCCATCCACGAGGGCGTTCGGGCAGTTGGTGGGATGGAGGATCTGGGACATGCTTCCATGCCAGCACGCTGGGCCATTGCAACAAGCTTCTGGATGCTTGCTTGGACTAAGTACGTCACTAAAATTTTCATATATAACCCCTCTCGTCGCTTAACTGTTTCCGTCCATAACGCCATTTGGTCTTCAGCAAAGGCATGAGCTTAAACGCAACGCACGTGTACCATGGCGGGGGGCATCCTGTTGGACGCCAAAATTGAGTGTACGGAGGCTCTAGCTAGACGGTCGATTATGGCTGACGTCCGGTTCGACTTCATGGTACTACGATGGTGCTTGAGCTATCTGAAGCCTGCATTAAGAATCAAGTGCAGTCCATGGGGTATTACTGCCGGGGAAAACATCGCGGTACGCCTGGACCTAGTTTGTCCAGCCACATCTTAATTCCGGTGATCTTGTATCAGGCCGGGGCCACCGTACTACCCAGTCAAACTTGACGACCACGACGTCTCTGCCCATGTATAAGTGCATGCCAGTCGGACAATTGGCAGATTGATGTAGGACGGTGTAGTATACGTATCGTGAAGATCCAGTGATGCCTAGACATATTGAGAAAATCCGTTCCCCATGCTAGAGTACGTGAGGCCATGATGGCCGGCATTTATTTACGCGGGTGCATATAACTTCGTACAACTGCACCCATGCAGGCTTACAGCCAAGTCTCCACAGTACCGGCCGCACATAGAGATCCGAGTTCAACCGGTCAGGTAGGCATATAAGGCATAGAGCAGAATCAGCTACTGTAGATCACACCGCCTTTTCTTTTCTCAAGGCAATTGCAATAAAGTAAGGCGGCAATGCAGAGAGCTTCATCAACGACAATGCCCTTCAAGGCTTGGCGCCTGCATGTTGCTAGAGTTGGGCATCACACCAAGGATTCTGTGCTTCACCGACTACTTCCCAACGTCCCCGCCTGATACGTGCTTGTTCATGTTCCAAAAAGTGAAGGCGCAGGGGAAAAGAATCTGACATTTTGATGCAAGGCTCAAAACACCAGTTGTGACATGGCACAAACTCCGACCAGCAATGGTCATCGTCATACAACCGCTGAGTCGATTTGACTAAACCTCAAGGCGGTTATGACAAACGAGAGCATGCATGCTTCCCCTTCGGTATGGCTTTTCCCCTTGGCTACTGCACTTTCAAAGGACACCGTTCGCTGCACGTTCAAGGAACGCCGTTTGCCGCTTTTGCAAAGTACTGCTCCATGTAGTCCACTACGAACTTCTTCACCTTGGCCCCAAGAACGCTCTTCTGAAGAGGCCGAGGTCCCTTGCCCTGCACGAGGCAAGAGAAACAATGTTTAGATCAGCCTCCAGACTGGGCTCGAGGATCTCCTCAACAACGTGCTTCAGTGTACCATGGCACATCAAAGAGGAGCAGCGAGGTGTCGGCCCACGTCCCGCCCCCGTGCTTCGGACGGCTTGCCCGCGTGTGGCCTCACCTGGCCCTGTTTCTCCCGCTCCTGGTACGCCTTCTTCTCGCCGCTGATGATCTTGCCCGTCAGCTTGCTGCAGATCTCCTCCGCCTTGTTCTTCTGGATCTGCACCCCCACACGCATGCAGCATCGTCAGCCCATTTGCAGCACATAATGCCCCGCAGTGGGGAGGCCTGGCAAGCCCCCCAGCGCATCTCGAAACTGCTACGGCGGAGCCAGAGCTAAGGCCGGGCCAGCAGCGACCGTCGCGCCAAAGCGAGCAGAGAGAGAGAAGAGTGAGTCCGGCTGCCACCAGGGTTCCCCCACGACTGGCCCGAGGGGCGTGCGTACCTTGAACTTGTAGGCCGCCATCCTGTAGCGCACAATCTCCATCACCTGCACAAACGACAAGCGCGGGCGGCCCCAGTCAGTTCCGGGCCCGATCGTGCGGGCACCTCCGGATGCAGCAGACACAAGCACGAGAGGCCGCCCTGGGCCACAGCGCTAGGGAAGAGGGGCCAGAGCAGCCCCGTCTACAGCCCCGTCCTGCGCTGCCAGAATCGGAGGAGGCGGGCCTAGCTTGTCGTCGCTTGCGCGGCCGTGCTCACCAGGTGCTGGAAGTCCGACGACGTCGGCTCGTCGGAGATCCAGTCGCGGCTGCTGCTGTCCTCGCTACCGGGGGCCCCCCTGCGTGCTTCTCCTGCCCCCCCGTGAGGCGCCATCGTGGGGCTGGCCGCATGCGCCTGCCCTCCGTTGGCCAGCGCTGCGGGAGCTGGCGGGGGGGGCCCTGGCGGCCGCTGCATTGCGGCAGGGGTCGGCCCGCTGGGCAGGGGGGGCGGGTGCATGGGCGGGCGGGCCGGCGGGAAGGCCGGCTGCGGGGGCAGAGAGGCATACGGCGGTAGAGGAGGGGGCCGCAGGTAGCCGCCTTCACCGGGCCGCATGGGCTGAGGGGGCAGGGGCGGCGGCGGCGGCGCGAGCTGTCCTGGAAGGGGGGGCGGGGGTGCCCCTCCCGGGTACGGCCGCTGCGTGGCCACAGGGTATGAGGGGGGAGGGGGCGGCGGCTGCGGCTCCCCTGGCGGTGGTGGTGGCGCGGCCCCGTCTGGGGGCAGCGGCGGCGGCTGCAGGGGATGCAAGCCGGGAGCGAAGGGGCTGCGCTCCGAGGGGCGGGTCCAAGGGGCGCCTGTCCCCGGCGGCGCGGGGGAGTGCCAGGGAGGCTGGGCCATCGCGGCGTTGGCTGTGGGCCCCTCCCACGGTGCCCTGGGCGGGCCAGGCTGGTGGCTGCCGCTGCGAACGGGCGGAGCGCTCCTCGGCCCCCATGGCGGAGGGGTGCTCCCTGCCTCTGCTGGCGGAGCAGGGGGCCCGGGGCTGGGACCTGCAGTGGGGTGCGCCTTGCCCTCCCCGGCCTGGATGGTGGCCAGCATGCGCTGCTGCCACACCGCCACCTTGCGGCGCCCCTCTGCCTCTAACGACCGTGGCGACAAGGGCGCGGCGCCCACATCCACCGGCCTCTGTTCCTGCGCCCCTCCACTGGCCCCCTGCTGCGGAGCGGCTGTAGGCACTGCCGATGCACCGCCCTCGCTGGCATCCCTCTTGGGAGGGCCGTTAGACGGCGCCGCCTGCCCCGCTTTCTGGGAGCTAGGCCCCGGCTCGCGCTGCTGCGCCCCTTGCTCCTCCGCCCAGGGATCCCCCGCATGGTCACTGAAGCCGGTGCGCCGCCGTTCCCGCCTTGGGCTGTGCTCCCTCGGGGGCGGGCCTGGGGACCACGATCTGCGCGCAGGAGACCTGGTGCGCTCCCTCGAGCGCCTCTCGTGGCCCCTCCCTTCCCGCGGCCTGTCCTCCGCGCGCCGCTCCTCGCCCCACGGCAGCTCCGTGACGCGGGCCCTGCCCTCGCCACGCTCGTTGAAGCACTCCCGCCCACTCCGAAACGCTTCTCGCTCTGGGGACCTGCTCTGCGGCCCCCGTGTACTGTCTTGTTGCGCCAGGTTCCTCAATGGAGGCCGGGGGCTGGCCGGTCGCGAGGGCCCCCGTGCCGCATCCCTTTCGTGTGGCATTGCGCAACTGGGCATGCCCCTGTCTCCACGGCTGCTGCCATCAGCGGGGCTGTCGTACCGCAGAGCGTCCCCTGGCCCGTTCTGCCCCCAGCGCTCCGCTGGGCCTGCCCCATAGGCCCGCGCCTCGTTCCTGCCAAACGTTGTATCCTGCGGCAGCCTGCCTGCCAGCCGCGCCAGCTCCGGGTCGGAGCCCCGGCTGTAGCTCGCCCCGGGAAAGGGAGGCGCAGGCGAGAGGGGCCGCCGCGGCGCAGGGAGGCCGGGCGCACCCGGCGCGCGAGTGGCGGGCAGCAGCTTGAGCCGGAACTGGCGCACGCGCGCCTGCAGCTCGCGGTCCGAGTGGCGCTCCAGCAACGCCAGCGCGTCGTGGAGAGTGGGGGGGGGAGACAGGGCGTGTGCAGCAGCGGGGTGCAGCTGCAGGAGGTGCTCTGCGTGCAGGAGGCCCTGGTCCGCCAGGAACTCGAGCGTGCGCACCAGCTTGCGCAGCACGGGGGGCTTGTCGGGGTCCTCGCGCAGGTGCAGCAGCAGGCTCTTCACCACCTCCAGCCCTGCGCACACGACCCCCCAACAGAGCAGTCAGGCAGGGCAGGAGCCAGCATAGCAACGCGATGCAAATGGCAGCAGGAAAGAAGCACGGGCTATTGCCCCCATCTGTCAAAAAGATGACCAACAGTCTAGGGAGCGGCACGCGAGGCACACGCAGGCACGCAGGGGCGGCTGACCGTTGGTGGCGACGAAGTCCTTGAGCACGCTGCGCGAGTGCGTTCTGAGGAGCGCCTCCAGCAGCACCATGAGGTCGCGCGTGCTGCACAGCTTGCGCCCGCCCTTGCCCTCGCCGCCCGCCACTTCCGCCTGCGCCAGCAGCGTGATGAACTCCTGCGCCGCACCTTTCCGCCGCTCCAGCCCCCCTTCCTCGTCCAGCAGCCCCGCCAGCTCCCTCTCCACCTCGCTGCGCACCACGCCAGCCCCCTTCCCCGCAGCGCCGCGGCCCCCCTTGCCCGCCTTGACCTTCTTGCTGCGCGGAGGCGCCCCCTCTGGCTCGCTCCCCTTCTTGCGCTTCTTGGCCAGCTTGCGCTCCGCGTCGTCCAGCGCGGCCTGCCCCGCGCTGCCGCTGCCGCGGTACTGCAGCGCCACCTGCAGCAGCTGCGCCTGCTTCTTCTGGAACCGCTTGTTCCCCTCCAGCACCGCCGCCATGTCCGCAGGGACAGCCTCCCCCTCCCCCCTCCCGCCTCCTCCCCCGCCCCCCGCCTCCTCCGGCAGCATGATCGGCTCCGGCTCCTCCTCCTCCGCCGCAACCGCTGCGCTGTCCGCTGCGACCCGCTCGCGGGCACGCTCAATGCGCGCCTGCACCTTCTTGGCGGCAGGGGAGTCGAGGTCCCCCCCGATCCAGCCGCGGCACTGCGGCTCCCCGCACAAGCACGGCTTGGCATCCTTGCGGCTCTTGTCATAGTTGTAGTCGAATGTGAGCTCCTCCCCCGCGACCACGTCGCGCAGCGTGAAGAGGCCCACGCACAGCTCCCCTCGCACCTGCCACTTCTGCACCTCCGCGTTCGGGTTGCAGCTGTGGTTGATGAAGCGGCCCAGGTTGCCCTTCTGGCACGCGTCGATGTACTCCCCGTTGCCGATGGTCATGAAGTACATGTGCCGCTGCCCCTCGCGCGCGTACTGCCGCAGCCGCCCCTCAAACGTCGCCTCGTCCAACACCTGCAACCACAGATAGGCGCTCAACGCCAGCATGGTCACAGCACCTCCCAGATCTGCTCTCCCAACCAACACGCTGCACGCCTGATCGACCGCGCGCAAAACGGGCGCACACATAGCAGTGCGGGCGGCTCACCTCTCCGGTGTACTCGATGAAGAAGGTTTGCTTGGGGATGTCCTCGCAGGCGCGCAGGCCAAAGCCCTTGCTGCCGCAGCGCGCCACCTCCAGCTGCCGGTACGCGCGCCGCTGGAACTGCAACCACGCAAAGCAAAGACGGGGCGGCCTCACCACCACAGCATCAAATTGAGCAGCAGCATGCGCAGGGGCAGCGTGCAGTGCGACAACACCAGGAGAGAGAGCGAGCTCAAAGGGCACGCCCTTCGGAAATGCCACAAGGGCCAGCTGGAGAAGGGCCGCGCCCCTGCAATTTCATCAGAGTCAATTGAACGCGCTGATAATGAAGTCCTAGCTGCAGGACTGGACGGAAACAGGACAAGAGGGGATGGGGCGCCCTACTGCGCACCTGTTGGTTGGTGCAAGCGTCCCCACATGGGCAGTGCTTGGGGGCACACTCCACCTTGACCAGCCGGTTCAGGCAGTCCTCTAAGCAGCCGCGCTTCCCAGGGGGGGGCGGCCAGCACTGGCACACCATCACCTGCACGAACACACCGCACACGGGTCGGGGGTCCATGTTTAACAAGGCCAGACAAGCACAGCGCACGGCGGCTGTGCCAACATCGGCAAGACGTGCCCGGGAATCCGATCATGGTCATCGCTGCCTGGACCCTTGCCCTCACACCAGCTGCCCCTGCCAGCCTCCTCTTCTCCCGCGCTCCCTGCTGTGGCCGCCTGCTCACCTCTTCGTCCTTCCACGCCTTCCTCTTGCGTGTCACGTACAGATTCTGCCGCGTCAGCTGCCACACCGCCGGCTTCCTGTCGCCTTCACTTCTCGGAGGGGGCGTCCCTGCCTCCTCGCTCTCGCTGCTGCTCGCCTCCTCCTCCTCCCCGTCCTCCTCGGCGTCGTCCGCGCTCTCCTGCTGCCCACCCTCCTGGTCGCTGTCAATCCCCAGCTGCCGGTTGATCTCCGCATCGCTCATCTCCTGAGGGACCTTGCATCGGTTGAAAGCGGAGTCTGGGTTCATCTTGCAGAACCACTTGTCATCATCCGTGAGCGCGTCTGCCATCTCCACTGGCACGCGCCGCCACTTCTGGCACTTATCGCACTGCACCCATGTCTCCTTCTCCTTCGCCGCCAGTGCAGCCCCCGCTGCGCGCGGCTGTGCCATGATACTTGCGCCCCTTTCCCCTGGGCTTGTGCCCACCCTCTGAGGGCCTGCTCACCAACTGCGCTGCCCCTGCGCGGCCGGGCCAAACCGCACCCCCAGTACTCAAACCGTTGTCATGCTGTAGAGCACTTTTTTCTCGTGAAGCGCCATGTTGATGCCTCAGCTCAGGTAGTGTCCTTGTTGACAAAGACATGCCTCTCTGCTCCAGGATCAAAGCGCAGAGTCGGTCTCTGACTCTCTGTGACTGAGCCAGAGTCTGAGGATCTCTGTTCAAGTTGCCTCCTTGCGAAGCTTGATTGCGCGAGGCGACCTCATGCCAGCCGCGCGGCAGATGATGAGCGCCGAAATACAGGTACAGCTTTCTGCGCGTATTAAAGATCTCGCTTCAGGGCGTGCGCACTGACTGCTCGAAAGCTCTGCACAGCTCCCGGCTTCAGCCTCAGGCTCATGAGGATAGCAATGTTCAGCTGACACAGTCGATCGAAGCAGAAGCAAGGACCAGGCCTCGACAGGGCGAGCAGGTGGCAATTGGTGAGAGAGGTGGCGCGCGGGAGGGCGGCTGCTTCCCTGGACGATCAGTCTGCGGGGTGTTGTGGGGAAGGGCCCGCTTGGCGGTGAGAGCGGGGGCCAGCATGGCGGTGGAGTCGTCGGCCGCGGGGGACCAGGAGCTGGTGACCAAGACGCTGCAGATCGAGCACAAGCTGTTCTACCTGGACCTCAAGGAGAACCCGCGCGGGCGCTACCTCAAGATCTCGGAGAAGACCTCCGGGGCGCGGTCCACCATCATTGTGCCCATCGCGGGGGTCGTGTGGTTTGTGGATTTGTTCAATTACTATGCCAACGGCGATGACAACGACCTCTCCAGCAAGGAGCTGCAGCTGGACACCAAGGTGCGCACAACACACCCCGCCGCGCACCGATGCACCCTGCACCCCTTGCGCAATTGTGCTGCAATCTGTCGCCGTGCTGAATGCTGCTCTCGCGCCCGGCCAGGGTGCACTGGCTGATGTGGCTGATGCATGCTGCAGGTGTTTTACTTTGACGTGGGCGAGAACCCGCGCGGGCGCTTCCTCAAGGTGTCGGAGGCCTCGGTGACCCGCAGCCGCAGCACCATCATTGTGCCGGCAGGGGCGAGCGGGGAGGAGGGCTGGGCCAGCTTCCGGAACGCGCTGGTGGAGGTGCACGAGGCCAGTCAAGCGCTGCCGCCACCCGCCGGGGGGCAGCCCCTGGGCCAGGTCAGTAGCCCCCCCAGCAGCGCAAGTGCGGCCCACTCCTTGCCCTGGTGCGCAGGGAACAAGCTGCTGCTCGTTCACCCTGAGAAGTCGTGATTGTCTTCCAACACCGCGCAATTGCGCGTGTGTCCACTGCCGCTTGGTCGGCCCCAGGCTGTGCTGCGTGCCTCCCGTTCGCCCTGCCTGCTGGCCAGTGCATGCGGCAACAGGGGCCCTGCAGTGCCCCGCCCAGGCTGGGGCGGCATTGCGGCAGCAGCTCGCCGCAATAAATCAGCTCGAGTGGATCATGCACAATGCACGATCGGTGCGCCCCCGCCCCACTCCTGTCCTTGTCTAGGCAGTGCCGGGGTGGTGGAGTGCTGCTCAGGGGCCAGATGACTCCAGAATGTTCCTCCTTATGTTGCAAGGGGGTCCATTTGGTCCCCGCCTGTTGGCTTGCTCCTCAATTCGTCTTGGAATTAGGGTTCAGTCATCCTGATAATTGAGAGCTTAGAGGGGCTTGGCATGTCCTGTTGTCTGGGCACCCCGCCTAGTGACTCGTATGTGAGCCACTTTGCTGCAGCTGCGCTGCATTGCTTGCAGGGCCCCCTCCCTCGCTGCTGCCTCTGTCTCCTTGCCCCCCCCCCTCCCCTCTGCATTCCCTGCCAGCGCCCCCCTCTCCCTAACACGCCGTCTCCAGCAGCCTGCCCCTGGGGCTCCCTTTCAGCAAGGCCTGCCCCACCTGTCGTGGCCGCCTCCTGCGCGCCTCCTTTCGCATGCATCCCTGCACCCAAGGAGTCTGCCCTGGGCGCCCCTGCCCTTTCCCCCGTCTGACCTGCCTGCCTGACCCCCCTTGCAGGACGTGGCCCCCTCGTTTGCCCCGGCCTCCCCGGCTGGCCCCCCTGCCCCTGCCAGCTCGGCAGCGGCGCCGGTGCAGGCGGGCGATGGCGCGGCAGATGGCGGCCTGAATGCGGCGCGGGTGGTGCGCGCCGAGCAGAAAAAGTTCTTCTTTGACCTTGGCAGCAACGCGCGCGGCCAGTTCCTGCGCATCTCCGAGGTGAGCCCCCCACAACCAGCGCAGGCATCCAATCGCCCGCCCCCTTCCCATTTCCTGATGACCCTCAAGCGCAAGCACCTGCTCTGCTGCCGCACGCTGCTCTCCGCCTCAGAAATGTACAGCAGTGGCGCGTGGGCAGCGCCTTGAGGCGCACGTGTGGGGCCTGGTGTGCAGGTGACGGGGGCGGACCGGTCAGCCATCATTCTGCCCGCGTCCAGCCTGGAGCAGTTCCACGAGACGCTGGGCCAGTTCGTGGAGATGGTCAAGAGCGCCGGCATCTCGTCAGGGGCCAGTGTCGCAAACGTGCGCACCATCGCCCCCCCTCGGAAACGGGCGGACGGAGGGACTGCCTAGCGGCAGGCGGCCCGGTGTGGGCAGGATGGGGGGCGGGCATGGAGAGGCAGGTGTTCGCAAGGGTGGGGGCGGAGGCAGTGGCCCCGGGGATCCAATGTGGGGTGCTGAGTGCGGCGAGGGAGTGACGTGTGGGACTAGGGTCCAGGCTAGGTGTGACAAGTAGGGTTTGAGGTTGGATATGGTTTGGTGAGAGGTCGGGGGTGTTTGGTTTATTTCAAGTGGTGTGTTTGCACGGAACGCCTGATGATGGCAACCTTGGAAAGGGCGGACGTTTATGCCCAGGGGCGCAATCAATAGGTGTATTGGTGTAGGTCGTGCTGGGGCCGACAAGCAGCATCTGCCCAGTTTTGGCCAAAGGTGGAGCAAGCGAAAACCTGGATGAGCATAGGCGTGTGCGTTTGGTATTCCCACATCAAATAAAGTGTAGCAATCGTCTGTAAGAAGCGAAGTTGCTGCAACCCAATACCGTAGTAGGTACACGCAGAATCCCAATATCGTACAGTTTGAAGAGGCATCCTTCAATGCGATTTAGGGGAAGTTTTGAGGATTGAAGTGACGCCCAGTCAAGGTGTGTGCAAACGTCGTCTTCGACCCTCCTTCGACAATGGCATTTCGTTTTTTCGAGCTCAATTCTTCTGGACTTCTTTGCATGCATTGCAATCGTCCACAATTGTTGCTACAAGTTTTCCTCACATTTGCTAGTGTGTCGTTTGCATGTGCCATTGTATGCATTGGCCTTCTGACTTGCTTGCCAGTTTGCGTTATGTTTACTTGTGTGCAGAACCTTGGACTCCTGCATGAGTTTATCAGTAACTAAGATGGCATGTCCAAATCACAGCATACGTTGCATATTCATAGGGTACATGCTGGAACCACGTGTTTTTGCTTTGCACCTTGGATTTGACATCGTCCACAAGAGAGTTACAAATAAAACTTTATTCTTTAAGCAAGGGAATAAACGATAATCGATCATTTATCCTTTATTCCAGGCACGTAACATGTTTTATAGTTGTGCATTGGGCCGATCATCTATCATATGATTCAAACGGGACCAACAACTATCATGACTTGAAGCCATGTGGCAATTGTTGCTCATGCATGATCAATCTGAGTTTGTATCGTAGAATCAGATACTGAATAGGGAAGCCTTCATGCAGAAAGAACGAGAGTTGACGCTGTTGACACGATAGTAGCAGAAGGCCGCGGAATTGACCCCAAAGGCAGGCTGCGTTTGGGATGCGTAGGCATCCAGCAGTTTGGAAGGCGGGCACTGAGTTTTCAACATGCAAAATGTGCCAATGTATACTTATAGTGTCGGAGGGTAGCATTGGTAGTAGACTCGGAGGAAAATAAGCAGCGGATTCAGCAGCGATCGGACCCAGGAGTCTGGAATGCATCAAAATTTCTAGGCAATTTGGTAAGACAACGGCAAAAAACTTACAAAAGCTTCAAGTTACTGAAGGAAGGCCGGACAAGTTTGAGAGAGAATTGCACATGCACATGCATGGCAAGATAGTCGGAGCAATCGTCTGTCTGCATGCAAATGTTCATTGGGTCCGGTTGACATGCAATGCTCCGGGGCCAGCCAGCCCCCCGTCACTTATGGATTCAATCTAGCTACTCAAGCTTGAGCCGATCGATGCATCAAGAACACAGCGGGCGCGGATTTGCTTATAATTGCATGCAAGGATTGGAATCAATTTTGACATGCTATACACTTGAAATTGGTTTTCGCGTCATTGCACCGACAATGACTGACTGGGACGAATGGTTGTCGAGAGCCAATTCGCCTATAATAACTCCTACCACGAAGGCATCCGTGATACACCGTTTCATCTGGTCCTTGGTCGTCATCCTCGCACTCCCTTGGGTGTGACGACTTCGGATAAGCGCCCTTCTGACGCCTCTGCTTTTGTCGAGCGTCTGCAATCTCTGCATGACCGCGCACGCCGAAGGTCTGATTGCAGCTCGACAGAGACAAAACGCATTTGCGGATAAAAAGCGCGTCGAGAAGACGTACGCTGTCAAGGACCAGGTATTTCTGAGTACCAAGACTCCTGATTCTGAAGCACGCGGACTCGCGAAGCCGCAAGCTGACGCCGCGTTGGGTGGGTCCCTTTACTGTCGTGCAAACTGAGGTGGGTTCTCTAGCTTATAAATTAGAGATGAATCCGGGGTGGCGTGTTCACCCCGTTTTCCACGTGTCTCTTCCAGAGCCATACCGCTCTGATGGGCGGACCCAACCCCCACCTATTCCAATTGAGTTGGAAGGTCATCTGGAATATGAGGTCGACTGTATACTAGACCACCGTTTCTCTGATCGAAAATGGGAAAACCTCTGGTATATCTCATTCACTGAAAGGGTTATGGGCCAGAAACATAACTTCTGGAAACCCGAAGGTAATGTCGCGAACGCTCCTGAGGTAGTGGGAGAGTACTGGCAACGGATTGGACGAGCTGCCGGCATAGGAGCTGCCCCAGCTGTACCAATTCCTCGAGAAACGCGCGTTCGGCGGAACCGCTAAATCTCCTCTCGTGACTCATAGTATGCTGGTTGGGCATACCAACTGTACTGTGGTTACTATACTACTGGAGGCTGCTCTGTAACTGAATCTGTGTCTCTCTGACTTTTCTATAAAGTTCTGATACATTCTGACAATCTGGTCAAAACTCTAACGTCACACTCTGATACAACTGTGACGGTCTCACGATCTGTAACTCTACTACTGAGTGAAACACCTCTGTGTTCTTATCATTCTGATCTTTAATGTCAATATGATCTGTCGATTTTTGCAATCCACAGATCACGGAGACCCCCCGGGGGCCCCCCCCGAGAAGAGGCGAGTGTTGCAATCCGTGTGGCATCTACATTTGGACGGCCTCGTATCAATTCTGTTCGGCATGCAAGACTTATCCAATAGGGTAGTCGAATATCTGTTCTGAACCTCTGTTCTAAATATTCTGAGCCACATTCATTTGTCGCTTCAGTCTAGTTGTCACCTGCACATGGGTACTGTCATAGCTACCCAATACGTCATATTTTCAACATGATACGCGAATTTAAGAGTAATGTTTCTCGAAACATTGATACCGCTTGAATACGGCCAAAATACGCGGAAAAAAGAAAATAATCCAAAATAATCCAAAACAATTCATGTAAAATTCGAAATAGGTATCGAGAGCGCCATATAGCATTCATTTCATGCATTTTGATCATCGCAAGGCAACATTCCTCTTAAATCACTCAGATAAAGTGGTTTATAAGACGGAAATGTGTCAAAAGCGTGTGAAGCTCTGAATGGTAACGGCTCTGACGTCATAACGTATCTCCCACGTATTTGAAAAGCTTCAAACATTGATACTTCAAAATTCGCGTATTGTCCTTCTCGCGCAAAATACCCGTATTACGTATCGGATAACTATGGGTGCTGTATATGTGTACTACCGGTCACGTGTCATATCTGATGTACGCATGGCAGTCGGCGCGCGTATTGGACGCGACGACTCTGCCACTCACACATGACACGAATGCATCTTACTAGATAATGATGCACAACCGGATGACTCGACTTAGCTATGTCAAGACTTATCCACGCGGCCAAGTCTCATGTACTGATTACTGTGTTCGACTGAGTACCCGATACGAATGCCAACCTGGGCATGTAGTACTGTGACGTCTGCCCTAAAAGCCTCAGCTATAAAGCGGCAATACGATCAGAGAACGAAGCGGAAACTCTGTCGCCTATGCAGCAGCCATAGAAAACCTGGAAGCGCCCTCTTGCAGAAACCAGAGTTCTGTGTTCTATGCTGAGTTTCGCTTCCCCTTCCCCTTTAGGTGCCAGCCCGCAGACCGGACTTACCCTGACTGGGTACTCGACGGGAGACTACTTCGTCAGCCAGAGACTCCAGTAGATAAGCTTAGTCACTTCCCTG